TCTAATATTGAATATTAACATATATAATCCAGCACAGTATATGCATTTGCTTTTACAATATGATAATAGACTTGGGAATTAGTTACAATCACTCAGTTATGTTTTACGCGTCTTATTATTTATTTACCGATATATATATATATATATATATATATATATATATATATATATATATATATATATATATATTTACACACCAAGGGAAAGAGGGGGTGCATTGCTGTGGTCGTACCTCAGGCAGGTGGTTCAAAACCCCTCCCACTGAAACGCGAGATTCTCGGTCAAGTTTCAGGTCGTTCGTTCTTCCTTATAATTACAGTACTAAGAATGCCTATCCAACTCCTTACTAACAAGAAACTCACCAACGCCTTAAAAAAAGGGCCACCCCTACACAATAAGTTTCTAATTTAAGATTTCCGTTTGGTGTATAAAAATGTCTCGGATGTTTTAGTTTATCACATGGGTGAGTGAGGGCCGAGCGCTGTGGCCAGTCGGCTATGTTTGATGCTGAGTACCCGGCGACCACTTGACACTCGTGCTGGCTTCTGCCCCACCCATGATACCTCACCTTCAGGACGTTCACCCATGATACCTCACTCCAAGGACATTCACTCATGATACCCCCACCAGTCTCACCCATGACACACCACCAGCATCATCCATAACACATCACCACCAACCTTACCCATGACACCATTAGTCTCACCCATGACACACCACCAGCCTCATCCATAACACATCACCACCAATCTTACCCATGACACCATTAGTCTCACCCATGACACACCACCAGCCTCAACCATAACACATCACCACCAATCTTACCCATGACACCATTAGTCTCACCCATGACACACCACCAGCCTCAACCATAACACATCACCACCAGCCTCAACCATAACACATCACCACCAGCCTCAACCATAACACATCACCACCAGCCTCAACCATAACACATCACCACCAGCCTCAACCATAACACATCACCACCAACCTCACCCATGACACCTCCTGGATGGCTGACAGTCGGTTCCTTGTCAACTCGTTCAGTGTCGTCTGCACCCTCATGAGTCATTTAACAAACAGATGTTGGCGGTTTTCCCTTACATTATTTTGTCTGGTCACACACAACTCGCCATTCTAATATATTCAAGTTGTATAAAAACGATTCATGGTGTGCTCGGCTTTCTTTAAACATTGGATATGGTAAATAATTAGAAGTTGTCATGCGTGGATATTACTATGGAATTTATGTTTTTACAGTGTATTCCATCGTTTTTATAAGAATTTGACCTTCATTTCTGGCGGAAATGAGTAGTTATGGAGATATGACCCCCACCCCCAATTACCAATAATGTTGGTAACACAAAGTGAGCAAAGCTTTGGAAGTAGAGGGAACGATAGGTCAACACGCAAAAAAATATTAATTTTTACAAGTGGACTCTCAGCGATTTTAAGGTTTTTAATGCATGCAATAGATACATCACAGCATTCTGGGTAACTTTCATTCTATACACTCCCGTCGCAAATGAATGATAATTAACCTGGTAGGACCTGACCTAACCAACCAACCAACCAACCAGAGAAACCCAACTTCCTAGCCGGATCCCCGCCATATAATAAAGAAAGTACTTATTTAGGGTATTGTTTTACTTTCACACAACCATGAAATCTTAGAAATTTAATTTTGCAATCAATAGTTTAGAGTTTTAGACAATTCTGAGATACTTTTCGGGGGTTCCAAAGAGGTGAGATGAGGTTAGGTTAGATAATGTTTAGGCCATTTGCGAAGGAAATGTCATAGAATAAAGGTGTCTTAGAATTGTCTAAACTATTGAGTGCAAAGATAAAATTCTTAAGATTCCATGGTTGAGTGAAAGTAAAATTTTACCTTATTTTATCTGGTACCAATAAAAGCAACTAGTTTGAGTGTCATAGTGTAATTTTACATTTTTTGTGGACGTGAGGGCAGCTCAGACCAAGTTGTAAACAAACAGACGATAAGCGGTGACTCCAGGAGGAATATTTACGGTAAATAACCAAAAATTTTAAATATCTCGCTAACATGTAATTTCTTATAGAAATGCCACAAGGAAAAATGAGAGATGGGTGAGATCTACCTATAGCAACAATTCATTTACTAACATCTTTTGAGAGTACACTTGTAAAGTAATACCAAAACGAAAGCTCTTAACCAGAGAAACCTTGACCTTAACTACTAACGCCCCCCTGGACGGTGTATTAAAAAAAATAAAAAAAACTTACCTTGGACAGTCTTTCTCTTACAGCAAATACCAAATACTGTACAGCATGCCGATCTTCACGATATTGAGTCAGAATCACATCTTGAACACTTAACTGAAGAAAGGAGAACACAGTGAGTCCTCTTTAAGTTGTCAACAGCTGCAGCTTGGTTCTCAAAAATTCGCTGAAATCTAGAACAAAAATAAAAATCACCAAATTACACGACAATCCGTCATCGAGCAGACCTGAGCCATCACAGACAGACGCCGCCATCCTACAAGTAACCAATAACCATTTCAAATTTCGGAGTTTGCGCATGCTTATAGGTCATCCGCTGATTGGCTCACAAGTATAACGTGACATACAAACTTCCGCTAATTGGTTGGGTAATAAGTAAAAAGATGGTTTCCCCTAGAATTTTTCCTAAATTCCAGGATAAAACAAAAAATAACTCGAAAACTACAAATTTCCGCCGGGAACGCTACTGATTGAAGTATTAATTTTTCTCTATCTCCTTATACATGAATGAATATAGAGATCCGTGCTTGGCAACTTCTAAATATTAAACCACATAAGAATTAAGGTACGGGTGAAAATAGAACTTAAGACGGAAAAAACAACACTTACTGGTACTGTCTTGAGTTCTTAAATCAGCTCTCTCATCGCGGTATTCAAATCAGTTGACGGCGCTGCATGTACTTAAATTAATCCAAAGTCTTAAAAAGTTTTAATTAAATTAAACAAATGGAAAGGATAGTACTTCTGCCCGACACCAAGAACAATAATATTAATGTACTTCATTCACTTGCCATCTAGTGGTTGATAGGGTTACTACTGCATAATGTCGACATATACATACAGCAAACAAAAATAATTCCTTAATGTGGTTATTAGAATATATTTATAACATATTTATGAGTATATAATAAACATTTTGTTCCACGAAATGCCAGAATAACGTCTATGATAGGGTAAATCTATCTTACCTGAAACGAGAGCATAAATTGGCTGGAAGGAATTGTCTAACCCAAAATTGGATGAAGGTTTGGTTTATCGCCTAACAAATATTACTTTTGTTATCGTACATTTGTTACTTTCTACATGTATACAGTATACTGGTTTTCAATAATCCCTAGGAATATCCAAGTGAGTAATCCTTTACCATTCTTGCGCCCCTAAAGTAGCTATTAAAGACGCATTATTACGTTTATAAAGTAGTCGATTACCTCGATAATATATCATATCCACAACAAGATTTGCGTACTTAAACTAATTTAAAAGTTATCATTATTAGGCAAAGGTAAGGGTAGCACTTTAAGGCTTAATAGGGTGCATTATTCCTAGATGTGGGTCAGTGACCTGTGCCCGGGTGGGCTAATCCCCGTAAAAAAAAATAAAATAAAATAAATAAATAAATATAGCATGACCTCTACACTGTATATGGATGTCCTTGGGGAGATGCACCACGATTCACGGCCAGCAAATAAAACAACGAAGGGGGGTGATCCACCTCGCCTGTTTGTACTGTATACAGTATATTATATGAATATATACAGTATAATATATCATCATCATCATTGCATGTGTCATGCTAACTAAGGTAGGGAACGCATCGAAATGACGATTGTTTATACAGGTGTATACTTTTTTAATACAGGATACAAATTAAGGTTTTATTTTAGTTTCGGTCATCCAAGGAATCTTGGGAATTTAAATATTGGAATAAGTAGTTTAGACAATTCTAAGAAACTTTTCTTCTATGACGTTTCCCTCGCAAATGGCCTGCCCTAACCTCCTAACTGCATTGTGAATTTGTGAACTGATGATCATACACTAATTACAGTATAATTGAAGCATATCATCACTAAATTAACAGAATTTACATATATTCTACAGGTAGTTTTTGTTTTAATTACAAATGACATCTTAAATGAGAAAGCAAATTTTGTTGTACAGTACAGTATTTTGTTTAAATCATTTTTGTTTGGTCAACAATAAAGATAAAATTAAGTACCTGTACTGTGTATTTGGTTAAATATAGTTATATTAAAAGGCTTATTTGGATGATTATCCCCATTTACTAGTGATATTGTACATAGTAAGCTGTACAGTATACTGTACTGTACTATATAATATATAGTACTGTATATATTATATACAGTAATGTCACTATTAAGATATTAAGATGAAATAAGAGCTTTTGTATTTATGAATTGTCAGTCAATGAGCTGCACACTTACAGTGAATTAGAGTACTATACATAATACAGTATGAGGTTAAGTTGCTTTTAATCTGATGTCCAACAGTGTGGGCAAGCTGGTGGCTAATGCAAATAAAGTGATTACAGTAATTTACATTGGCTAACTAGAAGAATATCCCAGTTTGAACACAGCCATTAGTCAGAAGCAGTGTGTAAAATATACAGTTTTGGAGAATGTCTTCTCCAAATTATAGCCGAATTCAGGAACAAGTTGATGGAAATCCTTTAACTTGTTGATAAATCATATAAAGGTGAGAAACTCAAAACTATGGCTCTGATTAATATGCTTACAAGACGAGCTACTTGGGACAGTTGAATGTACAGGGTAAATTAATGTGATTAACAAAGGTATAAAAGTTAAAAAAAACGATGGAAATATATTGAAATTTTTTTGCGAAATATTTGAAAAAAGCCAGAACGTGGTAAAAACATAATTGATCAGGCTGAATTACATGGTGTATCAAACTTATATGTTAAATGAGTGAAAACCCCTGTATTATATAGCAAGTTTTAATTGGGTAGACACTGTACATTGATAAATGGCAGTAGCACAATGTTGATGTAAAGTAAGGTCATACATCACACATTCATGATAGCAAATTGTGCAACACTCATTACAAAATTCATGACAGTATAAATATATCTATTATTCAACATACATTAAAGAAGAAACTTTCATCTCTTAGGACAACAGTAAAGGAATGATCATAAGTCCTCTGTTCTTACTGTACTGTCATCATTTACCTCATTACACAGAATTGTATCTTGATAAACCACAAAGAAATTAGTGTTAAGAATAATGTTGTATAACCAATAAATCAAATACATAAAACTGTATAATCTATTCATTACAGAATCTTATAACTGTAGTAGAAGAAAGATCTTAAAGAGAAGTACCCAGGTAGGTCTTGCCCCATTTAGCTCCTTAACATGAGCACCACAACTTCCCTCTGCCCCATCAAGAATGTTTTTGTGATGGTGAAAAAGTGGACAAGTTTTGGTTTGATGTTTTCTTCTTGATGATTCTAATAATTAAAACATGGCAATAAAGTGAAAGTTGGATCACCGGACCTACTGAAAGACAGAAAATGTAGGATTAAGAATACAGTACCATATAATGGACCTCAGTAACCCCCTCCCCCCACAAAAAAAAAAAATAATAATAATAATAACACCTGGCCAGGAATTTAGAAGATACTTATGTATACTGTACAGTACAGTATATGAAATAACAACAACAAAAAATACTAATCTCAGGACTACTTCCACTATATGGAAATTCTAAATAATACTTGACCTACCTTAGTTATTACAGTACATTTTTTCATGTTTTTGTTCACATGAAGATTAGGCAACCCAGCTTATTTCACCTGACAGTTAAACCCTCTAATGCTACTTGGAGGGGTTAGTTTAAGTTAGATAAGATCATGTAATGTGAGGTTCACGTTGGGGTGCCTAAGCATCATGTTTCTTCAGGTATAATAAAGATTCAATAAACGTGTGTTCTCACACCATGGAACATGAGCTTCAAGACTCATATTTGTAAATTTGGCAAATACAGTAGTAATGTACAGTACTGTATACTCTTTAACATGTAAGTGTTTATGTATAGTGAAAAGGGGTGAGTGGATCCCATAGGCCTAACAGCCCATTAGAGGCAGTTGTATACTCAAACCTTCAAACCACAAGGAAGTAACATGGGCAGTATTGCACTTGACGGATTTCACTGCCAAACTGTAAAGATAGGTATCCATTTATATCTGGGCAAACTGGGTGTGTCCTGAGCATAAATCAGTTATCCTCAATATGACAGTGAGACCTGTATCCTCCCAGTGACTGTATCCTCTGTTGTGATACTGCAGATCTGTTTATCTTCAGAAATAACTATTGAAAATGCTAAGCAGTAGTCTGGTGGTAGTTAACAAGGCCAAGAGAAACTATAAGGTGGAACTCTAAGCAAATGAAGAGATCAAAAATAGTTATTCTGTAATATAGTCAACTAAATAAAATCAGTTTCATTGCAACAAATATATTTCTGAACAGAACAATTTAGTCAACAGAACCAATAAGTTATCCCCACTTTATTAATTTACCAATTTAAGGCAAGTGGTTTAATAGGCTCAACAACCTTGATGCTGGATAGCTTCAAACATAGGTTGGATAGATATATGAGCGATAGGGGTTGGGTGTAAATGGGACTGCCCAGTATGGGTCAATAGGCCCACTGCAGTTTCCTTCATTCTTATGTTATACTGTATTGAACAATGAGTTGGGATAACCTGGCAGGCACTTTTCTTACTTGATAAGTCAAGATGAAATAAATGCTGGTAAATCTATTTCATAACATGAAATATTAAAATAAATATTTGCGTAGGATAACATTTTAGGTAACAATTTATAATATTTATAATCATTAATGGTTATTTAGGCATTGATTCTATCTTTCAGTAACATTTTGAACATGTTTTATTTGCCTATACTGTATTGTATGAGGATTAATTTCCCTTACTTTATAGAACATATACAGTACATCATTAATTCAGAATCTTGGGCCTCTTTAAGCTTTACTTTCATGGGTTCCTTGAAGGAGCCACAGAGCCCCTGAGTATGAGTAGATATCATGTGCTGGCTGGTATAACATAAACAACTGATGGCAGGTAAAATCTTGAAAAGAGGCCTCTCATCTTAATTGGTGACACGTCTGTATGCCCAGGTGGATGACTGGTAAATAAGCATATAAACAGCATCACATAAATTGTTTGAAAATTTGATGATGACAGTGATAAAGTTAGTTAAATGCAACAAAAATTAAATAAGAGTACTGTAATTAATAGAAGAAAATGTCTTCCAAGCCAATACAGTAATTACCTGTACAATCCTTTAAGCTTTGGCAGTGTGCACAGCTCAATTACAATCTACTCATTAAGCAAAAAACATGAACCCATGAGATAAAAGTTTACAATGGATTCCAGGTAGTATCATGAAAGCAAATGACTAAATTAATTCATAATTTGAGTGACCTTAACCTAAAGTGTATTCATTATAGTGACTACACTACATATGTCTTGTCCTATTAAGGTGTGTTTCCTTGTTCATGGCACATCTTCATGGGTCTCATTATGTTGGTATACAGAATTTATTAAAATTATGTTGTGTTGTATAAATATAACAATTTATTAAAGGTTAACATGCAAAATTGCTGCTCTTACTCCATGTAGGGACGGTGTGTTCTTGTCTGGGTGATGGGATAAAACTAATCCTCTCACTGCTCAGACACTTTTACATTACATATACTGTACTGTACTATATCAGGTAACAAACTCTGCTGCCCGTTCAATGACAAGTTACAGATTTATCATTTTAATACCTTTACTTTCACTGTTCACTCACATTTAAGAAAAAATTTATTACAGTATATATCAGGGGAAAATTTGTTCCATAATTTCTTTTGTCTTAAGCCTTGTAATATGCCATAATCATTTTGTTCTTTGCATTCTAATTTTTCATGATTCACTGATGTCAAATCCTTAATTTCTCTTGTATCAACTGTCTCCTGTACATCATGTTAAATGACTGGTGGAAATGAATTTAAGGTTGGGAACTCTTTTGTAAAAAAAATTAGATGTACAAGAGATACTTCACACTTTGTCTGAGACTTCAGGCACTTTATCGCTCCTTTATAACTGAGAAGGTACATATGGTATGAGATTAATAGACTTAAACATTATCATAATGCATATTTTGGTTATAGTTTGTAGGTTTACATACTCTAATTTTAGAAGCACAGTACAAGGAAAATAGTGTTGGTCATAATATACCCACTATAAATCCACAAAATGTTCCATGAATTTTAGCTTATATTAGGCGAAACATACAGATGATAAATAACATTTGGCTAATATACTTAATGCCATACAATGCATAATACAAAATATATTTTCTTATTTTCAAATTACATGCTAGTACAGTACTGATGGTGGCACTGGCGGACTTGATTGGAGTAGTGATAATGCTTACTGTCATTAGGCTCTTGGCCAGGCAAGCAGTACTTTCTCCAAGGGGACAGTCACCACACTTCCCTGCAACCTGGAATACGACATCAAGCTTTTTATCCAATACAGAAATTCACATCTAGTCATGTAAAGCAGATTCCGTATACAGTATGTACTTTGCTCCTTAAACACACATAAAGTTACAAATTAAGGAAAGTTAGAGAATGAAAAGAATGACATGGTTAATTTCTGATCTAAGAAAAGCTGCGACCCTGATTGCATGCCTCAGGTACCACTAACTTGCTTTGCTATGAATGTGTATGAACTTAAGTCTGTACAGGTCATACAGTATTTTAACATCAATTTCACCTAATTTTACTGTCTCCTCTTTGTATACTGACACCGTTGATTCCCCTTCCTTCCTCGCTGTACTATCTCTCTCTCTTGTAGTTCTGCAGTTTCCCCTCACCTGGCTATATAATCCCCCCCCCCCAGATTCTACTAACTCCTCCTACTCCTGGTTTCATTGTCTTTCCCTTCCCTGGGTTTAAGTGCATACTGTACAGTACGTATATACAAAAGACAGAGATACAGGTAAGGTAACATATTATAACCAACACTAACTCTTTACTGTTTCTGGCTATAATACGCTATGGCAAACTTATCATTCCAGTGGAAGGTCCTGCTTGAGGGATGAGTGTCTAACCTGGTAACATTGAAAATATTTTTTAAGAATATTATATAATTACTCTCCTGTTTGTGATAAATTAAGGTTTCTTTATGTCTAAATACTACTGTACAGGAATGTGTGTATGAGTGTGTGTTTTGTGTTGTTGTTTTAACACTTTTAAGAAGATTTTTTTCTAAAGTGTTTCCAAAATTATGTACAATACTGTAATATCACAACCCAACAGTACCTCTTACAATACTGTACTTACCTGTTTGGCTCACTCAGCAGGATGACCGTTACACTGGCAGAAGCAACAGGAAGAGAAGATGAACGACGACTCTTATCAGCTAAATGCCACGAAGACTTCTGATTAGTGAGGACCCTAGCTACTGCTACTCCTCCACCTGGGGCGAGCACCTTCACCTGCTGACCTGGGGACAGTTGGTCACCACGGTAGGGCAGATATGGACGCCCACTGCTGGCTCCTGTGGAAGTAAGTTATACTGTATATGTACAGCATTTTTTAACTCTGTATTCTCATTACAAAATTAATTAAAATAAGTTGAATGATTAGTATACATATTAATCTAAGCCTTAATGATATACCAGTAAGTGATATACAGTAAGTGTGCTGTACAGGTATACATAATGATGTAAGTGTACTAAAATGAAGTGAAAGAAAACAACACAGCATGGAAATCTAAATTGCTCCACAATAACCATGAACACTATAGCACATAAATATTTTACAGCAGTCACAGACACACCAAAACAATTCAGAATAACCACAAAGCTTTGTAATAGTGTACATGATAAAACAGTATACAACATGCAACAGACATTCCTTAATACAAATTAATATTCTGCAATAAACCAGTACACTCACTAATGAACATAAACACTCAACAATTACAGCACACAGAAACACTGACATAAACACTCAACAATTACAGCACACACAAACATTGATAGATTACACAGACACTTGAAAGCACATATTGTACAGTACTGTATAAGCAGTGAACACTTTACACAAATACTTTCCTGAACACACACACACACACACTAGACAATACACAAGAAGACTCCTTATAACACACTCATTCAACAACATAAACACACAGTTGTAACGAACTCATTGGACTATAGTTTACAGATGGACTAACCTAGACTAGCAGCATCAGGTTCACCTCTCCAAGAACTGAATCCACCTTGGTGTGAGCGTGTCCTCCGTCTCCGCTGTCTGTGTCGTTTTCTGTATTGTCCATCCCTGTCTGTTGGCAGGGTCATGGTTAATAATAACAGATAATTATTACCACTACAATAGTACACTACAACAATTTTAAGAACAATATTAAAAATCTTAATGATATGATAATACGATTACAAATACAGTATGCATCTTGTGTGGGAGCATGACACAATGTACCAGTAACTGTAATTGGTTGAAACTTTTTTTTTTACTCGAATTATCAAAAAGAAACTTTTTCTATGAAAAGCACTATCAATTTTTTTAATGAATTTGTAAAATTACCAAAAATTAATGAGAGGAAACCATAATTTTAACAGATAATGGAAAGTGATATACCACAATATGACAAATAATTTTAAAATTAAATACTAATATGCTGTATCAACTTCCATAATATCATTTTTCATGACTGATGTCCTCCCCAAGTGACTGTGTTACAAGGAAACCCTTGTAAACCCTAGAATTTAGTGGCTGGGACTAATTCATTAATTAGTTATGTGTCTTATTTTAAATCAACCTGTTAAATGCATTTCTACTTTACAAGGAATGTGTTAATTTTTACATGATCATAGACCCAAATGTTCCTGTGCTTGGTCTAGCTGTTTCGGTCACTTCGTGGTTTAGAAACAGTGACACTCTTCTGTGGTACAAATGATGTGCTTCTTGTTGTATCATTATATTAAATAAAGGTGGAAGTTGAGTGTAGTCATTGGGAAATAAAAATTACAACATGAATTCAGCGTGATATTCCACTACCTGTATAATGCTCAAAGTAGAGGCTAAAACTCTTAGTTCTGCTTCCCTTTCCCTGGGTTGTAGGAGAAATTGCTGCCACTCTACTATTCAAACCAGATGGAGTTTCAGTTGGAACTAAACTTTGAAATTTAGTATGTTGGCTTATAATGAACCTTCTTTAAGGATGACTGTTGTTGTTCCAACCTTTACTGACCAAACCTCTATGTGTTTACCTGAGGTCTTCAACCCGTGGGGTTAATGCTATAATATGTGATCATAGTTGCTCAATCCAAGGAGCAATTATTGAGCCTTAAAGTGATTATCATTTCGCATCTCTTCTTTGTTTTTATTAGGATAAAAACTAATTTATGAGTTTAATCTAAAACTCTGAAGTACAGTACCTGTATCATAGTTTAAGCTACTGTTCTGTTACTGCCCTCATTACAATAAGTTTATTTTTCCAATTTTGTACTGTTTTAATCTTTACAACAAGCAATTACACTGAATATGTGTGTACAGGTATGTCTAACAGAAGTACTTTACAGGTATATTCTTTAAGTTAAAACTTAACTTGCTATATAAAGGAATGTCTTGGGAAATTAGAATGACAGTGAGTTTCCAGGCATAGACCACAGATAACTATGAGGTACTGTAGTTATACATACTATTGTTAGGGGAGCACTGTACACTAATTACAGGAGATGCTGGGATCGAGGGTGTGAGGTACATACCATTGCCAGGGTAATAAACAGTATAGATGTTGGGGTCGAGGGGTGTGGTGGTGATGTGGTCAGCTTCATCAATGAGTGAATCAGTAGAGCCACCACTGTCACTGTCCCAGTAGGTCCCCTTCTGCCCAATACCACCACCACTAAAAGATAAGAAAAAAGAATAGGTTTATGTGTGTGTATGTGTATGAGAAAGAAAGAAATAGGATGGAAAGGAAAGAAGATACAGCATCTTAATGAGAGAGAGGAAGAAGGGAGGAAAAGAGGAAGCTGACTTTTTAACATGTATGAGGAGAGGGGCTGAGGACTATCAACAGGTGTAAGAGGGAGAGAGAGAAAGAATGCAATTGTCAATAATTGTTAAGGGGAAAGGAAGAGAAAGGACGAGAGAACACTGTGGTTAAGAGCTGTGACATGGACAGGCTGTCAGTGTATGTATGAAGGAGATGGAAAGTTAACAAGTGTGAGAGAAAGGAAAGAGCAGTAGAGTACTGGCAACATGTATGTGAGGAAAAAAGCAGATCTGTCATCACATGCAATAGCACTAAGAGTGTACAGTATAGTACTTATATGGATGTGCATATAATCTAGGACTAATATTCATATTCAGTTTAGAATAATAGCTAGCACTTTGGTACTAGGTCAAAACTAGTGTATGACATCACATAATGTTGGTAACAAGACTGATCAATAGGTGAAGTAACATGTCCATAACTAATTAGGGAAAACTTGTGAAAACATATCAATACATTTTCATATGTGCTTTAACTTTGTACATACACAGAACCAGTAAATCCTGCATGAGAAAGTGCAAAAATAAACGTAGGATCCTCACCTGCCCACCATCACGTCGAATGCAGAGTGGGCGTGTGAGGGCCCGGGGTTACTGAGAGTGAAGGTTGTGGTGCGGGCAGGACCTTGGTGACCAGCAGGTGCTGTATGGTATAGGTCTGGAAGGCTGGAGGCACTGCGGATACTTGATGCACCACTTACTGAGGACAAGAATATTAAGGATATCAGTTGTTATGTCCAGATATACATAATTATAATTGGACACACACACACACACACAGTTACACCTATAATAACAATCTGATGACAGTTAGACACTTTACTGAAACAATAACATACTGTACAGTACTGCCTGAAAAAAGAGTAATTTAATTACTTACATACACACATAGGTACATACATGGCCAAATATGTGTAGTGTGTGTGTGTGTGTGTGTGTGTGTGTGTGTGTGTGTGTGTGTGTGTGTGTGTGTGTGTGTGTAGTGTGTGTGTGTGTGTGTGTGTGTGTAAATATCACCAAGACACAAAGGTAATTACGTATGGACCGACAGCTGAATCAGTACACAGACGTAATTACCATGAGTGAGTGAGGTGACTGCCAAGCCAAGGTACAGGTAATTACTGAGGAAAACAAGTAATTACCTGCCTGGGGTTTGTTATCATCAGGAGAAACCAGGGAAAACGTGTGGGGGCATATGAGTGAGATGCTAGGTTAATGATGCTCAGTCACAGGTAAGTATGTAGAACCACAGGTAAGTATGTAGAACCACAGGTATGTATGTAGAACCACAGGTAAGTATGTAGAACCACAGGTAAGTATGTAGACCACAGGTAAGTATGTAGAACCACAGGTAAGTATGTAGAACCACAGGTAAGTATGTAGAACCACAGGTAAGTATGTAGAACCACAGGTAAGTATGTAGAACCACAGGTAAGTATGTAGAACCACAGGTAGTAGAACCACGGGTATGTAGCACCACAGGTAAGTATGTAGAACCACAGGTAAGTATGTAGAACCACAGGTAAGTATGTAGAACCATAGTTATGTAGAACCACAGGTAAGTGTAGAACCACAAGTATGTAGAACTGCAGGTATGTAGAACTGCAGGTATGTAAGAACCACAGTTATGTAAGAACCGCAGTTATGTAAGACCCACAGGTATGTAGAACTGCAGGTATGTAAGAACCATAGGTATGTAAGAACCATAGGTATGTAAGAACCGCAGGTATGTAAGAGCCACAGGTATGTAAGAACCACAGGTATATATGTCATACCTCAGGTGTGTAAGACCCACAGGTTATGTAGAACCGCAGGTATGTAAGAACCGCATGTATATAAGAACAACAGATAAGTATGTAGAACCACTGATAGGATGTAGAGCCACGGGTAATTCATTATGAAGAACCACAGGTAATTAAGTATGTAGAACCACAGATAAGTATATAAAACTATATACTACTAGTTATGAAGAACCTCAAGCAATTAGTCCTGAAGTGGCACATATAATATAAAAACTATTCAAGTAAACAGGAGGCTGATCACAAGGTGGGAACATGGCAGTCAGCTGACCTTTGTAGACAAGTCGATACTGCAGGAAGTGAAATTCCTTTTAGCTTACCAAGAGAAAGGTAACAGACGTCAGCGCTGCAGGAACCACGCAACGTCAACCACTTACGCACGGAGAACCACTGAATAGGGCAAGGAGAACCGCGGGAGGGGGAGGGAGAGAGAGAGAGAGAGGGGGTGTGAGGTAAAGACGGGACGAACTACCTTTCCTGACCACGGTTCGAGGGTGACTGTGGCGTGATGGTCCACTCCTGCCCATCATGATACTCTCTCACGCATGCGGCAATCATATGAGAGAGGGAGAGAGAAAGAAGAGATGGAGAGAGAGAAAGAGAGAAAAGAAAGAAAGAGAGAGAGAAGAGAGAGACCCATACAAAACATACACGTACATTTACACACAAACGCATACACTCAGTGGCATTCATAAACACATACACAGACAGCCATACAGAATATACATAAATTCATACACATGCATACATAATTACATAAAATGACACTCACAAGAGCAAACCACAAGCATACTCCTGTTCACACTAACACCGCCAAAAAATAAACATGTATGTACACTAATTAACGCGCACATGTACTGTACACACTAAAATATTCATAACACATAATATTACATCTACACCCATACACACCCAAATAAACATACACTCATGAATATAAACATACAAACAATGGCAACCAAAAAACGTATAGTACACAGATGCAAGTATAAGATACATGCAAACATTGACATCTACGTAAAAACGGAAACAATTTACCTGAGACACGCACGGTTAATTAGTTATCCACCTACTACAGGTTACCGAGCAAGAGGTTCTGTCTGGGACGACGGACGAACAATATCAACACTGACATTACTAAATTCACCCCAAATAAAACATAAAACTTATCCAGTTCGCTTGTCCAAAATCCCACGTTAGTTCAAGTATTTTACTGTAAGTCACAAAATACAATTAATATTAATTTTTACCAACTTACACAACGCACCTTCAGGATGCCGGTACTACTCCGACCCTCCTTCACACCCATTTACATCATCTATGAGAGATCCCCAAGGCGCGAACCAGTGACTTTAAGGACAAGATCTCTGTGTCCACTTGTTTGCCGCGTCTCACTCAATTTTGGGTTGAAAATTACAGTTTAATACATCATGATGTTGACGTTCTCGATCACTGTCAAGCACAACTGCGTGGTTCAACACTATTAAGTCGTAAAAAAAAAAAAACATAATCTCGTACAAGACAACACCCCCTGTTACTCCGCCTCTACACTTTGGGAGGTGAAGGTGATCGAGTAGTGACAACCATATTACACCCCGTGTGCACTGAAGGCTTACTTTCTTCAGTACTTTAGAATATTTGTTAATTTCACACTGCCTTTAGGTTAGATTTAGATACGTTAGTTTACTTTAGGTTATGGCTAGCCAGGTCAGTGAAGGGTAGATTGTTTTAGGTTAGGTTCCTGGTCACTGTTTTAGGTAAAGTTTGGATAGGTTAGTTTAAGATAGTTTGAGGTTAGGTCAAGTCAGGTTAGGGCTGCATAGGTTAGTTTAAGATAATTTTAGGTTAGGGTCACTGTTTTAAGATAGGTCTGGGTAGGTAAATTTAAGATAGTTTTAGGTTAGGATCACTATTTTAAGTTAGGTCTGGATAGGGGAGTTTAAGATAGTTTTAGGTTTAGTTAGGATCACAGTTTTAGGTTGGGTTTGAATAGGTCAGTTTACGATAGATAATTTCATATTAGAATAAGTGGGATTATGTCACACAGGATGGCATATTGTGAGTGGCGGTGAGGTATTGATCGAGGAAGTATCTGACAGTGATGGGTAGTAGTAGTGGTGGTAGAGCCTCACCCCTGCTGTTCCTCTACTGATAACATCGGTAAATGCCAGGTGTATTGGGGGTGACGCTGGCCCCACACCCTCTTACTACCACCAATACTCTACACCACACACACCTTAGACAAAAAACTAAACTGAGCTCCGACTGCCCATATACCAAGGGGAACGTTATCAACACACGCGATGAAAAGAAGAAACAAATGTGAATCTACGGAACGACTATTGTTGACATCACTCCCTGTTAAATAACAATAAGTTTCAACACCTAAGAAATCGTATAGAAAATGGTAGAATCCTTCCAGCTTATTTAACCTTAAGATTAATGTTAACCTAATCTCACATGATCTCCCCTCAGTTCAATCATCTCGGACTGGGGTGGGGGAGGAGCTAATCTTCGTGATCCCAAATTCCGGCCAAATATTCGTTCTTATGAGTTACTCACATCGAAAATATCAAATACTGTATCTTCATGTTGTTACTAAAAACGTATGAAATTGTATTGTATGTGTAGAGTAAGTTGTGAGGTCCAGAGACGTGCTGTGGGTCCTCAGTGGGGTACGGGAGAGGGGAGGGGGTGTTAGCCTGCACGGAGCACACCATGTTTCAGCGACAGCCTGAACTGAATAAATAATGTGGAATATTGAGTCATCACCACCACGGGTTATACGCTAGTTAGTACACCTTACACATTACCACCCTACAATTTACAGTTACTTACACCACAAACTATGCCTTGAAACTCACGTCATAAGGTCTTAATTCACATCATAAACGTACATAAGGTCACGCTTCAGAATAAAGCACCAATGTATTGTCGACTCACCTTACTCACACTATTCATAAGATCGTGTCATAAACAATAAATTTATGTATCTTTTCATTATCACACCACAAACACAATGTCGTAAGCTCAAATTACTCTACACATCTCATTCTAACATCACTAACGAGTGTAATAAGTTTCTACTATACTGTAATACACACTTGGTTCGGGATTCATAAAACCTCTCTCAAGTTATCCTCTTATATGGTGTTGTGATCGTATCCATGTAAATTTGACGCCATTTTGTACGCCAATTCATGAGAAAACCTTAATAAAAGAACCACAAATAATCCTGGACTTACCGGTGTGGTGTGAAAAAGTGGCGGTGTGTTGTAGTCTGCCGAGGTCACCGGCACTGCCCCCGTAGCTAACACCTCCCAACCTGTCCCCTGGGTTATGTGAGGTCGGGTTGGGTCGGGTGTTGTAGTAGGCCATGGAGGAGGACGATTGTACCAAGGTGGAGTTCAGCACCGGGTACTTGTGGAGAAATGGTGGGGTGGAGTGATGGGCGGGTGACTGGTGGTCGTGGTGAAGGACGGGTGAGTGATGATGGACGGGTGAGTGGTGACGATGGACGGCAGGCTGGTGGTGGTGTATGGTAGACTGATAGTGGCGGTTATGAAAGGATGACTGGTGATGGTGCTTGACAGGACTCTGGTGGTGGTGATGATGATAACGATGATGTCGGGTGTTGTGGACAGGTGGTGGCAGGTGAGGTGAGGCGGACGGGAGGATGTGTTGGGCCAGGTGCAGCCCGTGGGGCAGGTGGTACCCTCGCGGCTGTCTCAACTCACTCTGCAGATGTCTCAGAAGCAGGCTGTTCTGGCCCACCTGACCCGCCTCGTGTGCCTGCACCAGGCTGTATAAGTTCCTCTGTAGTGTGGCCAGCTCTGGTTTACCAGCCGGAGGTGGTGGTGGAGCAGTGGGGCCTCTGTTGACCCTCTGTGACCAGGGGCCACTCAGTCTATCTGGTAGTGGGGTGTAAGGAGACTCCGCCTGCCCGTTGGTCCTGTTACGTAGAGGAGATCGACTGTATTTTGTGGTACTCGTGGCGGCTCCTTCACCTTCACTGAATTTGTGTGACCGTGTGGATGTCATCTTCGAAGTGCGTTTCGTCTGCGGTGTTTGCGTGCCGGCGTTCTGGAGCCTCAGAGGCCTCGGAAGTGGTTGTAAATTTTCAGAATCTCTTTGGTCCAGGTGTTGAGGGTTGGTTCCTCTTGTAGCTGGAAGTTGCCGCTCTCTGCTGCCCCCTGCCGGTGTTCTCAACTGCCTCTGTTTATTATTTTCTCTATCATGTTCAGATTTAAAACCATCACTTGCCTTAGCTCTGCCGCCAATGCGTGTGTCAGTTCTAACTTCATTGTGACCCATCAAAGTTCTCCCTCTGTCACCAACTGCTAAACTTTCTCCTTCAACGTCACTTACACTTCTGCCTCTGTCACTAACTGTGAATGTTTTACCTTCATTGCCACCTCTTGAAGTTCTACCCCTATCACCATCTACTAAAGTTCTGCCCAAGTCACCACGCTCGTAAGATCTCTCGCCTTCACCAACTACGTCACACAAGGGTCCACCAGTCTTACTGCCACTAAATGTAACCTTTGTCTTAATCACTGCTGACACTAAATCACTGTCGTCTAACAGGTCTTCTACTGTAATTTCTTCTGTTTTCTCGTTCCTCTTTGGCACATCAAATTCTTCACTACTGACTTTCCCTTTCCCATTTGTGTCACTCACACATTCTCTCTCCTCCACCGGTGACTTCTTATCACTCTCAGAAAAATGAACATCTTGGACATCTCTCACAGTGACTTTCTGGCTGCTGGTTGTTACTTGAGTGAGAGAATCACTGGGCACTTCTCCGTCCACTGATGAGTAGGTGGGTTGTGCCCCCTCCACCTCATACAAGCCGCTCCCCTCACTCTCGTTGGCACCAGTGTCAGGTCGACAACAGGGTTCCTCCTCCTCCTCTTCCTCGTCTGCATCATATGCACCATAAGGTTTAGATACGACAGGTTCTAGCGATTCTTCACTATCAATATTTCTGATGTCTATCGGGAGGTGTTCATCCTCGTGTTTCAGAGAGTCGTACTGGAAATTATAATCTTCAATGTCAGGTGTTAAAGGTGGACCTCTAGTGGCCATGACTGATGGAATTAGGCCATTACCCTCGGTCGCTCCATCATGTTCAGCGTCACTGTCACTTGCTTCTATATCAGACATGTGAACGTCATCGTCCATACGGTTCTCGTCATGTGGTGGATCACCATCAGAGGGAGGATCTAGTTCTGAGTCACAGGCCACAACGCTCATCACAAACTCAGACACGGGACTCGTATTCATCCTTAAAGGTACTGACAAAGACGTCTTACTATCCAAACTTGACGTCTCTGAACGTGACACGGGAGTGATCGTTCTGGATTTAGGCTGAGGTTGTCTCCTTTCAGAGCTGCTTGGTGTCTCAAGGTTGGACTCTGAATCATGTTCTATAGCGGAGGAAAAGTCCGGCTGGGACTGTGATGGTTCAAAGGTGACTTCTGGGTGACTTTCATTTGATGTCAAGGACACGAGGACGTCCTCAAGTGCCCGAGGGGACCCGACATCGTCCATACTAGAGCTGCGACTCTCAAAGGTTATGACACACCCGTAAGGTCCCACTAGGTCAGAATCACTGGCTTCACACGCCCCTTCTTCGTCTTCAAAATCAGAATCTGAAGGTGCTAATATTTCCTTTACCAAACGTTCCTGTGCAAGGGTATCAAATCGTAAAATGTTCAGTTCCGTTTTGAATGTCGCTCTTCTGGTTGAAGAAATGGAAGCAAGGAGATCTTCATATGACGTGCTGGAGGCATTGGATTCATCGAGCTCTTTGGGTCGTCTTCCCCTCCCTCTCCATGTTTCTTCTCCAGTTAAGTCCTCAATATGAAGAGACCGATCTCGGGAGCTGTATAAGGACTTCTTCCGTCTGGCACCTCCAGTGTCTTCGGAATCCTGTGATGTTTCCCCGCCAGCAGCGTAGGGACTGTTGATGTTGGCAGAGTCTTTAGTGTCCGGGGAGGGAGGCTCACTACCATCCTCAAACCCAAGACACACCCCACTACTCGTGGAGGATAGCCCTGCCAGGAACTTAGAACTAGCACGTGATAGATCGACAGCCACTTGGAAAGCTCGTGAGAGATTTGGCGAAGATACTGATGCTTCTCTTTGATATTTGAGATTATCAAAAGACGTGGATGGTGCGCGGAGTTGGCTGTGAGACCTGCCTCTAGTCAGCTCTCCTGGGTGGGCCCTTCTCTCAACATTGGAATCAATTATAACCTTCGAAGTGCTGGAAGACGTTACCTCTCTTCTCACTGGATCTCCGGTACAGCTCAAAGTGGTGGAAGAGACCCATTTACGACCAGTGAGGCGGCCAGACTGGTGGTCGGTGAGTGAGTCGTGATGTGTGGAGGTGGCGAGTCTCTCCAAGTGGTCTGAGCTGAGGTAGCGCAGGCGCAGCTCTGGCACGTCGCTCCAGAAGGGTGATGTTTGATCTGACTGTAAGAATAACTCAACAGCGAACTTGTGTGGCACGATGTGGAACGGGTCAACCTTATAGTCCCTCTCCCGGGTTCGCAGTTTGCCTGTGATCGCGTCACGAACCTGAGAAACAATGAAACATCCGGTGAAAATTTACCCACAAACGCACCTTCACGCGCACGTATACACCCAAACTAAGGGATCCTAGTTACTACAGAAAATTTGAAATTATCCCTGTGTGATAGAAGGAGCTCTGGGTGATAGGGGAGTCCTGGGTGATAGTGGAGCCCTGGGTGATAGGGGAGCCTTGGGTGATAGGGGAGCCCTGGCTGATAAGGGAGCCCTAGCTAATAGGGGGTCTTCAGTTAAAGCGCCAACTAGCAGCCCTACCTTGTCCTGGATGAGGATGAAGCCCGTGTGGAGGCCGCAGGGTATGGGTGTGGGCGGAGCCTCGTACCAGCCCAGGTCCTGGTGCAAGGTGAGACTCACGCGCGTCCCCGTCACAGATGTCAACACCAGCCACACTTCCTGCACCCGGCACCTTACTGTCCGGCACCAACGAAACCTACGGAAAAAGTATCATACCTTTTTACTGTATTAATACGTGTTTTATGTTGCTAGTCTACACCCAACGTTTATAAATATGTTCTACCCGTTGTTCAATTTTAATTGTACGTGGAGATGAGATAACACATTTTGTTTTCATATTTTTTCTGACAACAGTTTTTAAGCTAATGAAGTTGTATTGTCACATCCCAGACAAAGTGAAGAAGTACCTTTTCTTACTTTTATCCTCTTCGCCACTGATCGGCTCGTTAGCCGCTTGGGCGGTCGGTCACGTCTCTGATAATTACAGTCAGAAAAACGTTAGATGTTCCCTTAACACGTAAAACATCCAACAAATAAAATTGGACACAACGTAATCTTTACCAACATATAAAGACTCACATACATAAACAACAAACAGAACTTCCACCAACAAAATTACACAATCATTATCAACAAACACACTGCCTGCCAACAAACAACACAACCATTACAAACACACTGCCTGCCAACAAACAACACAACCATTACAAACACACTGCCTGCCAACAAACAACACACACATTACAAACACACCTTATGACAAACAGCACAACCATTACAAACACATACATAGACAAACAACACAACCATTACAAACACACACTGCCTGCCAACAAACAACACAACCATTACAAACACACTGCCTGCCAACAAACAACACCATTACCAAAACTGCGCCATGCCAATGAAACCACAACCATTACCAAGACGCGCAGCGCCTTGACAAACAGCCAACCGTTACCAGACGCGCAGCCAACACAAGACAGACCGACAGACGCGCTGCAAAGACACACCAGCCATTACAAACGCACTGCCTGACAAACAGCACAATTATTACAGACCAGCTGCCAACAAACAGCGCAACCGTTACAGACGCAGCTGTGACAGACAACTGACCATTACCAGGCGCAAGCCTTGACAGACAGCATGACCATGTAAGACGCACTGCGTGACAAGACAACACAATGGTACAGACACGCTGCTTGCCAAAGACAACACAGACCATTACAAACACGCCTTGCAACAAACAACACAACCTTACACACGCGACAAACAACAGCCATTATAGACGCATAACGCCAAACAAACACAACCATTACAAACACACGCCCAACAAAAATCACTTATGAAAACTTACTTAATCTCTGGCAGGATATTGTTGCCTGTAGGTGTCATGGCGGTGGTGATCGAGTGACGTCATACAGCACCGCCTACCGACCTTTCAATTATAGAAAAAAAAACGTAAATTATGTTGGTATCCTTGAGGCAAATGATGTTGGAGCTAATTACTTGTAACGTTTATTGGATGTTTTGAATAATTTTTAACGTAGGTGGCTGAACATGAAACTATTTTAGTCAAGATATAAACCACTTAAATCTGAGTATTTTTAGAGTTAGTTTGTAAATTGACTTGTCTGTTTTCCTGTTTCTGGTGGCTAAATACGGCGCTTTCTTGGTGAGGCGTTTTGGAAATACTGTACTGGAACTATTAAGTAGAATAGTAGATGTACAGTAGTATTATTCTTGCCTGTTTTGGTCGGTTCTTGACACGTGATGAACATGATCATTGTACTGTACCGCACAAAACATCGTCGAGTGGAGTCTGCGCTAGCGGGGAATAATTACCTGTATGCCATAATATATTGTTCGTTGTCATCCAACTCTCTTGTAAAGCTTTTCCTACCACTGAAAGCCGTCAAGAGAGATTGGGGGCGTTCGTCCCTCTCTTGTGATTTCATGAAAGGTAAACTGCTCGTAGCCTTGCAATAAAATATCTTAACCATAGAAACTTGACGAAACTCTTAGAAATGTTCATAGAAAATTTTAATGAGCTTTCCCATGAATACCGATTCCAAGAAGGAATTTGATGCTCTACTAATCAGAGTAAGGTTATTGAATGAATGGATTTTTAGGACGTTGATAATCTTTCCAATAATTGTCGGTGAGGATCTTGTTTCCTAACTTGTGTTGATTGAGTGAACGTATCTGGTTACGGTGGTTTGCGTTATATTGATGTTATTTTTGTACGTTATCTTGTGCTGTGCCAACCAGTTAGGTGTACATTCTTATGTAGTCACACCGTGATGAATATTCAACGCACTAACCTTTGTGAATCTGGATGCCGTCAGTACTTCATAATAACTACAGTTCAACACGCTACAGGAGTGGTGTTAGATATTACTCTACTAGTGAACCATACATTAATTTCTTAATCTAAACAAATAGACATTCCTTAAATAAGTAACGGCATTTATTTCTTATTACATATAAAACCAACACATGAGTTTTAATCACGTAGCTGTTACTGTGCATCTCCCAGACCTGATAAACAAAGGTGTTATTTCTACTACTAGGCTTTGATACCGAATCTTGTCAACTAACACTGCTCACTAACTCATTATTTATAGTGACTTGCAGCTAACTGCCGGATGTTCAAACTTAATGATACCTCGTGGCAATGACATTGAGCATTCCAGGGTTCATCTCATTCAACAACTATATATATATTTTTTTTTGATAGTACATATCGCGACCACTGTATGCCTTCAGCATATTGTGGGAATAGTACCCGTCACCAGTACTCATACCATGCTTAAGCAAAGTTATATCACCTGTACCAAAACGTTCGCAACAGTGGCCAAGTATATCACCATTAGACACAGTTGGTCACTTGTACTTATCAGGGATGTGATTGGGTCTTGGAAAAAAAAAAGAATAAATTGAGCTGGGGGTCCGGGGAAACACCTACCCGGGTAGTTTTTACCATATTTAACCTAATTTCTCACATTGTTACTCGTTTTGTGAGCGCCTAATAGTTAAAATACACAGTACCCAAAAACAAACGTGTATGTTTATTACAACAATATTTTTCATGCATATACTCCTAATAATTCCTTTACAAATATTAGCTGTTCCTAAACTTGACTTTTTTAATATTTTTAATTGTGCATTATTGAGAAGATAAATTATAAGGTAAGCTTTTTTTGCACTGCATTGTGTGAGAATTCATAATTTAATACTTACCAAAGGGATTTATGTCTAATGCACCAGCAACTGGGGTTTCAATAGCATATGTAGCACTAAAATAAGAACAATAAGCCTGTTCCATGATATATACAAACAAAATATTTAGTTTTCTTTCCCATAAGCTATTTTTTTTCAAGAATAAACGCTTCTGTTTTTGTTGCTGGAAGGCCTCTCTGCTCTTCCTTGTTTTTGAGCCATTTCCTCACACTGTTTTCTTTGATTCTAACTGTTTCTTAAACACAATTTTCCTCCTGCTGCAACCTCTTCTGCTTTAACAAGCTTCTATACCTACTGCTGGAGAGTTTTATGTTCCTACACATCATAGGTCCTCCTGGAAGACTGCCCTACAGCCCTGACCCCTGGGGAACACATGCCCTACAGCCCTGACCCCCTGGGGACGCACACATGCCTACAGCCCTGACCCCTGCAGGACACATGCCCTGGCCCTGACCCCTGGGGCACACACATGCCCTACAGCACTGGCCCCTGCGGGACACACACATACCTGACCCCCACACACAGCCCCTGCAGCCCTGACCCCTGGGGACCACACATGCCCTACAGCCTGACCCTGCAGGTCAACACATGCCCTACAGCCCTGACCCCTGGGACGCACACATGCCCTGGCCCTGACCCCCTGCAGGACACACACATGCCCTACAGCCCTGACCCCTGCGGAACACACACCCTACAGCCTGACCCCCTGCAGGACACACATGCCCTACAGCCTGACCCCTGCAGGACACACACATGCCCTACAGCCCTGACCCCTGGGGTGCACACATGCTCTACAGCCTGACCCCTGCAGGACACACACCCTCCCGCCCCTGCGGGACACACACATGCCCTACAGCCCTGACCTCTGGGGACGCACACATGCCCTACAGCACTGACCCCTTGGGGATACACACATGCCCTACAGCCCTGACCTCCTGGAGGACACACACAAGCATGCCCTAGCCCTGACTCCCTGGGACACACATGCCCTACAGCCCTGACCTCCTGGGGACGCACACATGCCCTACAGCACTGACCCCTTGGGGATACACACATGCCCTACAGCCCTGACCTCCTGGAGACACACACAAACTACCCTACAGCCCTTGACCTTGGGGACACACGCATGCCCTAGCCACTGCCTCCTGGGGTACACACACATGCCTAGCCCCCTGCAGGACACCACATGCCCTACAGCCCTGACCTCCTGGGGCCACATGCCCTACAGCACTGACCCCTTGGGATACACACATGCCCTACAGCCCTGACCTCCTGGAGGACACACACAAGCACATGCCCTACAGCCCTGACCTCCTGCAGGACACACATGCTCGCCCTGACCTCCTGGGGACACACATGCCCTACAGCACTGACCCCTTGGGGATACACACATGCCCTACAGCTGACCTCCTGGAGGGCACACACAAGCATGCCCTACAGCCCTGACCCCTTGGGGGACACACGCATGCCCTACAGCTGACCTCCTGGGGTGCACACATGCCCACACCCTGACCCCTGGGGACACACATGCCCTACAGCACTGACCCCTTAGGGGATACACACATGCCCTACAGCCCTGACCTCCTGGAGGACACACACAGCATGCACAGCCCTGACCCCTGGGGAGCACACACAAGCATGCCCTACAGCCTTGACCCCTTGGGGACACACGCATGCCCTACAGCCCTGACCTCCTGGGGTACACACACATGCCCTACAGCCCTGACCTCCTGGAGGACACACACAAGCATGCCCTACAGCCTGACCTCCTGGAGACACACACAAAGCATGCCCTACAGCCTTGACCTCCGGGACACACGCATGCCCTACAGCCCTGACCTCCTGGGTCACACACACATGCCCAGCCCCGGCGTCCTGGGGTACACATACATGCCCTAGCCACTGACCTCCTGGGACACACACACACACATGCTCTACACCTGACCTCCTGGGGTACACACACACACATGCCCTACAGCCCTAACCTCCTGGGATACACACACACACATGCTCTACAGCCCTGACCTCCTGGGGTGACCACACACACACATGCTCTACAGCCCTTCCTGGGGTACACACACACACATGCCCTACCAGCTGACCTCTGGAGAGACACACACAAACATGCCCTACAGCCCTGACTCCTGGGAGACACACACACATGCCCTACAGCCCTGACCTCTGGGGTACACACAATGCCCTTCAGCCCTGACCTCCTGGGGTGCACACACACACATGCCCTACAGCCCTGACCTCCTGGGGTACACACACACACATGCCCTACAGCCCTGACCTCCTGGGGTACACACACACCCTACCCAGCCCTGACCTCCTGGGGTACAACATGCCTGCCCTGACCTCCTGGGTACACACAAACATGCCCTACCTGACCTCCTGGGGTACACACACACATGCCCTACAGCCTGACCTCCTGGGGTACACACACACATGCCCTACAGCCCCTGACCTCCTGGGGGACACACAGCCCCTCAGCCCTGACCTCTGGGGTACACATGCCCTGGCCTGACCTCTGGGGTACACACCACATGCCCTAGCCCTGACCTCCTGGGGAGCACACACACCATGCCCTACAGCCCTGACCTCTGGGGACACACACACACTCCCTACAGCCCTGACCTCCTGGGGACACACACACATGCCCTACAGCCCTGACCTCTGGAGACACACACACATGCCCTACAGCCCTGACCTCCTGGGGTGCACACAATGCCCTACAGCCCTGACCTCCTGGGGTACACACGCACATGCCCTACAGCCCTGACCTCCTGGGTCACACACATGCCCTACAGCCCTGACCTCCTGGGGATCACACACACATGCCCTACAGCCCTGACCTCCTGGGGGACACACACACACATGCCCTACAGCCTGACTCCCGGGGTACACACACACATGCCCTACAGCCCTGACCTCCTGGGGTTCACACACACACGCCCCTACAGCCTGACCTCCTGGGGGTCTACACACATGCCCTACAGCCCTGACCTCCTGGGGTACACACAAACATGCCCACAGCCCCGACCTCCTGGGGAACACACACACACATGCCCCTACAGCCCTGACCTCCTGGAGACACACACAACATGCCCTACAGCCCTGACCTCCTGGGGACACACACACACATGCCCTACAGCCCTGACCTCCTGGGGTACACACACACACCCTACCCCTGACCTCCTGGGGTCACACAATGCCCTAAGCTTACTCCTGGGTCACACATGCCCTACAGCCCTGACCTCCTGGGGTCACACACATGCCCTACAGCCCTGACCTCCGAGTCACACACACACATGCCCTACAGCCCTGACCTCCTGGGGAACACACACACACATGCCCTACAGCCCTGACCTCCTGGGGTACACACCACCATGCCCTACAGCCCTGACCTCCTGGGGTACACACACACATGCCCTACAGCCCCGACCTTCTGGGGACACACACACATGCCCCACAACCCTGACCTCCTGGGGATCACACACACACATGCCCTACAGCCCTAACCTGCTGGGTACACACACACATGCCCTACAGCCCTGACCTCCTGGAGACACACACAAACATGCCCTGGCCTGACCTCCTGGAGGACACACATGCCCTACAGCCCCTGACCTCCTGCGGGACACACACACGCCCCTACAACTGATTGGGGGACACACACATGCCCTACAGCCCTGACCTCCTAGGGTACACACACACATGCCTACAGCCCTGACCTCCTGGGGTGCACACACACACACACATGCCTACAGCCCTGACCTCCTGGGGACACACACACATGCCCCACAGCCCTGACCTCCTGGGGTACACACACACACATGCCCTACAGCCTGACCTCCTGGGGGACACACACACATGCCCTACAGCCCTGACCTCCTGGGGACACACATGCCCTACAGCCTTGACCTCCTGGGGTACACACACACATGCCCTACAGCCCTGACCTCCTGGAGGACACATACATGCCCTACAGCCTTGACCTCCTGGGGTACACACACACATGCCCTACAGCCCTGACCTCCTGGAGGACACATACATGCCCTACAGCCTTGACCTCCTGGGGTACACACACACATGCCCTACTGATTTTTTCTTTATATTTTTGACGGGAAATAGCCCATCCGGGCACAGGTCTTCGATCCACAACGGGGCCTGGGGGGCGAAAAAATAGGAGTAAAAATAAATTAAAAATAGAAAAGAAAAAGATTCTATTAATCTACACCACAAAGATGCTGGAAAACCAGCTTTTTGAAGTGAGACAGATTGTATGAGTATGGAAACACAGAAGAAGGCAGAGCATTCCACAGTTTGGCTGTGTGAGGAAAGAAGGGGGTACTGTAACGGGTTATTCTTGTGTGACCGACACCCACAGAGAAACGGTGGGCCCATGGCCTTGCCGGCGGTACACAGGATGCCAAATACACCGAACATTGCCTGTTAAAGTACCTGAAGAAGAGAGAGAGTGAAGCAACATTGCGGCGTAGAGAAAGGGGAGAAAGATTGTCGACTAAAGGAGGAGAGTTAAAAAGACGAAATGCCTTTGATTCCACCCTATCTAACAGTTGGACAGAAGAAGAGCCACCCCAGATATGAGAGCAGTACGCCAAGTTAGGATGAATGAATCCCTTATATACTTGAAGCAACTGCTTTTGGGAGGCAGCTTTAGCAATGTTGAGGATGTGTGGCTTCCATGACATATTAGAGGAAATGGTGAGGCCTAGCATATCTATTTTAGAAATTGGCAGAATGGTTGAGTCCTGAAATGTGATTGGTGGGAGATCAAGCTATCAAAGAGGGAGGTATTACCGCCTGGGAAGATATTGGAAGCATAATGTATTGTCTAATGGTAGACCCTACTGCCATATGGCATCACGAAAATTGTGACCAAGTCCCAGGTTGCTGATCTGACTTTCTGCCTCATTTACACACAATTACAGGGTCTCAATTGTTTCTCTCACCATTGACAACACAACATACATATATTGTTTCTCACTCTTCATTTTTTATTTCTTTGTGGTTCTTTATTATTATTATTATTATTATTATTATTATTATTATTATTATTATTATTATTATTATTATTATTATTATTATTATTATTATTATTACATTTTCGCCCTCCAGGCCCCGATGTGGGTCAGTGACCTGTGCCCGGATGGGATAATCCCCGTAAAAAAATAAAAAATAAAAAAATAAATAAAATAATCTAATCTGGAAAGTGTAATTGGTAAATGCTGAGTTTTATTACTATTGAATTTAACCAAATTTCTACCTCCCCATTCGGAGATGCTGCACAGAGTTGTGTATACAACTATAAGATATTGAATAAATTGTGATCATCAGAAAGTGTAAAATGATTATAGAAACTTAGTTATATTGAAAAGCCCCTCCCCGCCAGTGACGGTGGGGGAGGGTGGATCAAGTGGACAGGGTGGAGGGGCATATTATAATGCTTCTAATAGTGACGTTGTATGACGTCATTAATCTTTGGTCAATGAAATACTAAAGAATCGAAGAATGGAATGTAAAACAAGCAATACTCCGCCAATGAGAAATAGAGTATAATTGTGATGTATGAACATGCAGAGTGCGGCCACTATACTCAGTACAGTCTTCACGTGGCAGACCCATCTACCCTAGAGGGTCAATTATTGTTATTTATTGTCAAACATCTCTCTCATGGTCATACCCCCCATTTTCTCAACGAGTCTACGCGATTCACGTGGGTTGCCTAAAACGATGAAAGGGAAAAAACAGAAAACGGAAAACGGAGAAATCACATCCCTAACTTCTCTCTCCCCACTAATAAACAGTTTATCATCTGTAAGTTTGTTCAACAGTACACACATTTACATACGTTATTAATAAGCACACAATAATAAAAATTACAATTCCCATAATACTACTTTTTACAGAGTTCTTTGAAGTTACACATCCAAAACATCATCTTGTTTTCTATAAGTTTTTCACATAACGGAATTCTTAACCATGTTTATTTTTAATTAGATTCATAAGTCTAACTATAAAGACTTCATTATGGCGTTCTTTTTTCCACTTCTACCTGATAAGCAAATAAAAAGGAAAATGTCACTGGATGTGGTGAATAGTTGTGGTGTACAGAAAAAACATAGAACACGATGTTTTTGCTTTGTAACCTCCATGGGGAACTCAGTAAACACAAACACTAAGGGTCTTTGTGAAGCCAAAAACAGACTCACTAAGGTCAAAGCTTCAAGACAAATTAATGTGACATGAGACATCGGCAAGCCAACAGCACAATAATAACACCTACAGTATGGCAACACCACCTTGGAGACGGTCTTGCAACGGAGACATGTACATTCTTTTTATAGCATTACCCCCCCTGCCTTACCTTAGTAGTCTTCATGTAGATACAATATAATAATCAGAACTATAATTCATTCTAGAAAAAAGTCCCTAGAAGGATTCTGGGTAACAAATAATACGTAAATGAGTATAGTGAAAAAGTATAATACCCGGACTCGTAGGTTCCTCTCCCTGTATTGACTACAATATCTGATCTTCACACGCTAGTCGCACTACCGTCTTGCAGAGGCTCATTAAACGGACATTTATCATTATATTCACGTACCATGATAGTTCTTGGTGATGTGAGAGCGTCTCATTGATACTCAAATATCAGAGGTATCAAGCAGTACTATAACTGTAGTGCCAAGGTCTCTCTCTGGAAGGACTTACCATGATGTTAGAGAGGTGAAAAAACAGCAGACATATCGGGTTAGTGTATGAAACAAGTAGTGCAATACACACGTGGGGAAGGGCGGTGCCACACGCCCCTACCCGCAACACTCACGGTAAACTGGCAAGGAAGGCTCGTGACAAGGGGAATTTGTCAGTGGTGCCAGTTAGCACCCCAAGACGGCTTAATTTACAGATAATTTCATCGGTTTAAGATATCTTTATCTAATATTTTTGTTATATTATTACTTATAAATATTTAAATTTATAAATTGCTGATACAAATTTGGTGTAACTTAAAGATAGAGAGGGTTTAATGGCAGCGTTTTGGCACTCACCCGCTGCTCGCTACGCAGGCGCACATTCGAACTGGCCGCTCTTATACATTCACTGTGATAACATATAAACCCATGCTCTCATCTTCTCACGGAGTTAAAACTCTTAAAAGGTATGATAATAAATTACCGTGAAATAATTCGCCATGTGACCATAGGATTAGTGAACGGAGATTTTAAGGACCACTATTAATAATGACAATATTCCTTGAATGACACAATATATATTATATAGTTGTTTTTAAATAATGTATTATAATTATGCAATTATGTTCATTCTAAGCCTCTATTTCTATCTTTTGTTTAAGTTACTTATCATAAATAACAAAACAATTATTCCGTCACACATTAATGCAACAATGTTTACAAACAAGGAACATGGCCGACGTGGTGAGCCAGGACACGCGTGGTACAACGTATGCAGATATTACAGGACTTCAGCCTTGGGTGATAGAACAATTAAACCAACTCAGTGAGTAACTCAGGAAGTTAGGTATACCATAAGTACTTTTGTGAGGATATACGTGTATTGTAATTGCTCCTGAAGCATGTTACAGATTGTCCCTCAACCATCATCCCTCATCTCGTGTTAAATCCTTGTTAAGAAAAATGACTTGCCCGAAATATCTGAAAATGCCACAAATCATATACACTGTGTTGATCAATATTCGATTTAAGATATCCCACGACGTTCTGGATACGACTGTTTTTCCTGCAAATTCTGATGTGTTTTGACAGTTTTGAATGAGTTACATTATACATTCATTTCTTGATTAAATTGTCTAAAATGGAGATACAACACATCCCTTATGACTCAAATTTAGCCCAAGAAACGAGTGTGCGATTCATAAAAAATCCCACGTGCCTAGTGGGTGGGTGGGCTGTGTTAATATCATACAAGGGGATAAGAGTAACTCAGAAGTAAAGCTTTTGCCTCAACAACAACCATAGAATAAATTGGTTTTAATTTATTTTTTATTAAATAGGAAAAATATCAAACGAATATTAACCCATATTTTTTATAAGAAATTTTGCCTATGCAATGATTATAAGCCAATGATATTATTAGCTTAAATTTATTGTATGCAGAAGTGGCTATAGACAAGGCTGTCCTGCAACCAACTCAAAAAGGCTATATACAGGACTGTCCTGCATCTAACTCAATAAGGCTATATACTGTACATGATCGTCCTGCATCTAACTCAATAAGGCTATATACTGTACATGATCGTCCTGCATCTAACTTAATAAGGCTATATACAGGACCGTCCTGCATCTAACTCAAGGCTACATACAGGACTGTCCTGCATATAACTCAATAAGGCTATATACAGGACCGTCCTGCATCTAACTCTATAAGGCTATATACAGGACCGTCCTGCATCTAACTCAATAAGGCTATATACAGGACCGTCCTGCAACTAACTCAAAGAATACTATATAGCAACAGGACCATCCTGCAACTAATGCAAAAGGCTATATACAGGACCGTCCTTACGTTTCATGCTATAACTCACTAGACAGGTCACCTCTAGGCATATAACTGAGCACCGACCTGCATCTAACATATAACTCAATAAGGCTATATACAGGACCGTCCTGCATCTAACTCTATAAGGCTATATACAGGACCGTCCTGCATCTAACTCAAGGCTACATACAGGACTGTCCTGCATATAACTCAATAAGGCTACATACAGGACCGTCCTGCATCTAACTCTATAAGGCTATATACAGGACAGTCCTGCATCTAACTCAATAAGGCTATATACAGGACCGTCCTGCAACTAACTCAAAGAATACTATATAGCAACAGGACCATCCTGCAACTAATGCAAAAGGCTATATACAGGACCGTTTTTAATTTTGGGAAATGTCGCGAGATTTCATATAAATTCAGAAAGAAGCTGTTTGTGCCATATTCATGTCAGAACATGACATGTTATGAAATATCAGGACAGTCCTGTATCTAACCTTTTTGAGGTAGCTGTAGGACGGTCCTGTGTATAACCTCAGCCATTGTGTGCACATAAAATTACAATTAAAAAGAGGTTTTTTTATCATTTTAAGACATTCCTGGAAGGATTTTTTTGTTGTAGTTTAATATATCTGAGCCTTTGTAATGGGAAATTACAGGAAAATGTGATCTCAATGAAAAAATGTACAGTATTTACAAGAAGGTTTATCAAGAGTGGAACAATTTTTATTAATCAGGGATTGCCTGTACTTACAAGATATTAAGTACTTTTTCTTCAATACTAAAATTCATATACAGTATACAATAATTAAAAAGTATAAGGAAAGGTAATTATTGCCCCTATTTTTTTCAAGGTCATTAAACATAGAAATCTCATTACAAGTCTTGCAATGGTCAAGAAATTGCACTCTCATTAATTGCGAGACGTAATGATGAAATTTGACTATGGTTAACCTCGGCCTATTTTTATTTATTTATTTATTTTTTTACGATATTACATTATCCGCTCTAAGAGTTTGTTGTAGGTAACATCACTGACCGCTAGGAATGCCACTCTCACTCATGTCCAGCTCTCCATCCTGAAGGTAATACAGCACATTCACAATCTGTTGTCAGCTATTAATGCTCTGGACTACGGCAACATTGGCAAAAAGGATTACTGTACCACATTTTCATGTCATTGTATAGTATTTATGTGAATGCACTCGAAAAAAAAAAAATTACTGCTATTCAGTCACCAATTAATGATGAAATATACAGATTTGCACCATTCCACAGTTTGAACCAATCTTGGATGCAGCCTTCTTTCATGTGTTTAAATCAATTGTCTCTTCAAAAATAAAGCACTTGGAAAAACTTGTCTCTTTTTATTGATGCATATTCAAATGATGTGCAACCACACTAATATATTCAAATGTAAAGTACCGTACCTTTATTCAATTAATGATTTTGGTAATTGTGATAAATCTTGATGCAGCTGAAATATGGCTCACTCTAATTCCATGAGAACTGTATAGACGAGTAACCTAAACCTCTTTTCATTCATTTATGGTTATGAGTTATACATTAAATTGTGGGTCATGGTGGCCAAGTGCAAACACTGCTTGCTTCTTGTTCTCCACTCTCAGATACAGTACAGTACAGCTCCTCCCCGACTTACAGTACGACCCCCCGGACATACGACCGCCTCAGTCGTACCAAAATTTTGCCAAATTACGTATTTTCGTGTCCCAACGTCAGTGATTGCGCTGTGTACTGACAAAATTTTCGTTTGTAATTCACTTTAAAATGGCTGGCAAGCTTAAAAGTAAGAGTTTTGTGGTGCTGAGAAGAAAAAGAGACACATTTTAGATTTTCTATGTATTATTTAAGTATTTTCGACTTACGACCATTTTGACTAACGACCTGGATTTGGGTCCCTAACCCCGTCGTAAGTCGGGGAGGAGCTGTATGGGTATTACTACTGATCTACTTTATCTTTATGTATAATCTGTGGATATTCCCAACTGTTAATAAGCCTGGGAAGAACTTCAAAGTTGGAATTTTATGTATTGTATGGGAATAAGAAGACAAATAAAACGATTGGTGTAGGTACTTAGAACTCAGATGCCTGTACAGTACGAGTATACTGAAAATTATACAAGATTGGGACAAATTTCAAAATACCTGTACTGTACTACATTGTTAACATATATTTTCAACATGATACAGTAATAAGAATTTTTTTAATGTAGCTGAATATTTTGGCTGCCAATTTGAAGTGTACAATTTTGCTGCAATAACAGTTACACTGTATTTTGAAATATTGTACAGGTATCCCTCGAGATACAATGGGTTAGGTTCAAAACAAAAAACATTCTTCGGGTTATTTTTCATGTCATGAATAGATAGACAAATGGGAAAATAAGGGTTCGATTCCACAATGAAAAAAATACCCCAGTATCATACCCTCAAAGCACAAAATTTGTTCGCAAACAAGAACAAAACCCAGCTTACTAATCATAAATATTACACAACTACTTTAATTTACTACCTAACACATGAAAAAATGAATTTAAATACTGTATAACTTTAGTACATTACCTTATGGAAGAGCAGGGATAGGTTGAGTGAGGGCCTTACTCAGCGAGATGGTGAGAGTTGTCCACCTCACCACTGCTGTCTGCCAGGAACACCACAGTCCTCAGTATGCTTGTAAATTGTGGCCACAGTATAAGCTGTCAGACCAAGATCTTTCACAATCTTGGTAGGGTCCATCACCGTGCTCATGATGCTTAATTACTTCTAGCTTTGTTTCAAGAATCACAGCCTTTCGTGGTTTCTTCGGTGAAGTACTGGTAACTGAAAATTCAAGAGAATGCTTGGATGCCATAACGAAAGGTACAACGAAAGGATGGCATGAATACACCCTGATAAAAGAGAGATCACATCACACACACAACAAATGGCGGATGGAAGGATGCAGCTTGTGGGAAATGTGAGAGGGGGGATGATCGTTGAGCAAGAATACCTCTCTGTGCATCTCTCTCCAAGATAGCCTCGCCAGCTGACTCCCGGCACGCAAAATTTGAATTTTTTGCCTGGACCCAAATTCGTTTAAACGGGGGAAGCTTCCATATCTCGAAATAGAGGTATCACTTTAGGAAATTTGTATAAGGAAATTTTTGTATCATGAACGTTCGTATCATGAGGGATACCTGCACTGTACATATTTTTTGAAAGCCATTATGTAAAAAGTACCATCACATTGATAAGAGAAATAAACATCTACAGGGGAAATCAATTCCTATTTATATGAAATTCTAAACTACTTTATATTAAGTTCTTTTTTTTTACTGTAATTGAGCATTAACCATCAGATTAAGATTTTATGTCAGTACAGTATTAAGTGTTTATATGTTTTCTGAAGTTGCTGTCAGCTTCAAAACTTGGCCTTTTTATCAGGTTATTCTAAGACGGTAGGAATACTGTATTGGATATTTGACAATATGGGGGGACTTGTGGAGTGTACATTATAGAGCAGAGGATTGTTATTTGTTTAATGTTAACCATCATTATCTTGGCCTCAATTATTCTCCAAGGTAACTTTGTCCTCGGGGTCATAGTTTTTTCTCTGGGATTTTCACTATGATATACAAATCTGGTTTACCAATGTAAATTTTTACATCTGCCAGAATCTTTAGCATATGTTGTACAGAGCACACTTCTATCTTGAGACATATCAAGTAACTAGGAGACTACTGTCATAATTTTTCATTTTACTGTGATTACTTATTGAAGATTGATATTTTTTTTTCACCCATTCCTTCCTTCAGAGATCCATCAGCCAACCCCCATTCAGTATCACTGCATCCAGCCAGCACTTGAAGGTAGAGATGTGATTGGAGCAGCAAAGACTGGCTCTGGGAAGACTCTTGCCTTTGTTATCCCCATCTTACAGCAGCTATCAATTGATCCATATGGCATATATGCTCTAGTCCTGACCCCTACTCGGGAACTTGCTTTCCAGGTGAGTGTTTTTACTAGTGAAGTGATCTGTGATAACTCATAATAATTGTGTTATTTTGAATTTGTTTATGCTGTAATACTATACAGTATATGAGTATATGTATGACTGGAGAATGAATTTTAAATCAACTTTGTGTAAATGTCTGTCAAGCATGATTTTTGCCTCCGTCTTTATCTTTTCTTTTTCTTATGTCACACTTGTAGCTTTTCAAAGATTGTATGTAGCTGACAGTGATCATGACCTTTCTTGGTATTTAATAACTTAAGTGTATTTCATTATTAGTTTTACAGACTTTTGTACAGTATTACATTTTAAAAGTTACCTGAATACAGTTTATAATAAAAAATAACCATCTCTAAAATGACTTATAGCCATTTATTAACTCTTAAGGCTTGGGCAATAACAGACCCACTGGACCCCCTATGCTGACATATTTTGGCCCAAAAAATTGCATCCATTGTCACCTTATAAACGGGTTAATTAATAGAAAAAACCCAGAAGAATGTACTGTACAGTACTTATATTCAACTTTGATTGTAGCATGGTTGGGGTGCTGATAAGCAGTGTGGAGTGATGAAAGATGTCTTGTTTTTACCTTGCATTATTTGATTTGAGTTTTTTAAGCCTTTGTTTTAATTCGGTGACATATGACCTAAGCTGTTGCGTTGCCAGGGATCTAATTACCACAATCAATCAATGTCTTGTTTGAAGCTGCTGCGACACAGCCAGAGCAAGTGAGAAGGGATGTTGACACGATTTTGCATCGCACAGTTCTTACTTGAAGGCACTTTTATATCATATATCTATCTTAGAGCTACTGTACTACAAAACACAAATATTTATATTTTCCTCAAAAGAACTATAAAATACTGAACAGAGGTCAAAGGACACGCATCCATCACAATAGTTGGTCGGTAACTGACCAGGGGGCACGAGTATTATGCATGAGATGAGTTGCCAATTAAACAAATATCCAGTCCAAAGTATTTCATCTCTCCTGGACATTCAAGCAAACATTGGCAACTCTTTGGCATGGTGGGATACAGCAATAATTTTGCCACACAGCTAAATACATCACCGATTGGCTTAAGGACAGTTAAGTGGAATGTTTTAATGACTGGCCAGGGATTTCACCTGACCTACAGTAAACCCAGTTGAGAACTTGTGGTCTCTATTGAAACAAAAATTACAAAACAGGGACGCTTCCTCTTTACGTTAGACCCTACTTAGCTTCAAAACCTCTCTGACTCAGTTCCTGCCCATTTGAAGGAGTGTCTGAAAAGTCACCTTGCACCAAACTTAATGGTGCTTACTGTAGATTGAATTTTCACTGCAGTGTGTACCTGTAATTTTAAGATGCAGATTTTCATTACAGCTTATTATATATTTCATAAATGAAAATAAACATGGGAACATCTAAAGTTTTGACTGAGGAAAGTGAAACCTCATTACAATATAAGGAGTAAAATTCCAATCACTTTATGTAACAGCTGTGCAGTAAATGTATGACTTTGTTAATTTGATGACTGTCTCCTGCAGATAGCTGATCAGTTCCGGGGTCTTGGATCTCCAGTATCATTGCGACTCACTGTGATTATAGGGGGCCTGGACAGAGTGGCACAGGGAGCCGAGTTGAATCGGTCTCCCCATGTGGTTGTGGCCACACCTGGACGCCTAGCTGATATTTTGGAGACATCACCAGAGTTTACACTTAAGAGGTAAAGGTATACCTGTACTACAGTATATGAATTGTATAAGATATTTCTGTAGATTTATAATGTACACGGTGAATCAGGTGACCCACATGCAGTACCGTCAATGATATTACAGATTGACACCCCAGGGCTTTTAGGATATCAATCTTGTGTAGCTTATAATTTTCTTGAAATTCTTAAAAAAATATATATATTGCAAAATTGGTATCTTTCCCAGCTCAACAACATCCCTTAAAAGGAGGTACACTGTACTTGAAGGAGTCAGTGCTGCTTATGCTGAGACTTAAGACTTCTTGCCTTCTAGGTGTAAGAAGAACTATAACAGCATGCTTCTATGCTTCCCTCTTACTATTATATATGCCGGGGTTGGATGTGAGAAGGATGTTATTCAGTGTGACCCTGCCAAACATCACAGGTTTTCTCAGGGTACTCCGGTTTCCTCCTGTACGAACACTGGGCAATGAAGGACAAACTTCAGAAACGATGGGGATATTAAACGAGCCACTGACTTCCATTTCCCTTCATATATTTTTTTTTTAAGGAAGTGTTTGTGAATATTTTTTTTTGAATGTTTATATGTTTTTAAAGTGTATATGTTTGTGCATTTATATGTTAACAGTATTGTATACTGTATTTATATATTGTTGCACACATGATTTTGTGTAGATCTGGTTAAAATTGGGTTGCTTTGTGTGTGTGTGTGTGTGTGTGGGCGTGTGTGTGTGGGCGTGTGTGTGTGGGCGTGTGTGTGTGTGTCACTAAAGTCTTAAATTCTAGTAGTGTCAATATATCAAATTGTTGGTGCATTGTCTGCTTCAAGAATGGGATTTCATGATGAATTCCTCATTTATATGAGGAGTCTGATTGAGACTGGGAGGGTGGACATGAGATGTGTTTAAGGGTGGATGTTTACTGTAGTGTAGTACAGTACTGCTCACTTAAAAAAAAAATAATTGATGTCTCTCCTTGTCCTCCATCTGTTTACCTGCCATATTTACCCTGATATTTTTGTCCTTTCACGTCTTATTATTCTATTTATATATGTGTGTGTGGTAAGAATGTTCAATCTTAGCTACCTTGCATGTTAAGATAAAAATTGAATTGTGTAGAAAATGACTACAGACACTTTATAGAAAAATTACTCTTGCATTTTGGTGTAACCAACAAGTGTGATAATTATTTTCTGTTTACTGATAGGTTAACTATACACACAACAAATGTTTCATAGCTTGAAATCATATGTCCATTCTAAGGATATCTGTCTGCTTTGTTTCAGGATAAAATTCCTGGTTTTAGACGAAGCTGACCGTCTCATGGATGGCAGGTTTGACACCCAGTTGCGCACTATCTGGGCGGCTCTACCAGAGAAGAGGCAGACACTGCTTTTCTCTGCAACCGTCACAGACAGACTACAGCGCATGAAACAACTGGCAACATCTGAGGTACATTATTCTTATTTTTTTGTGTTCCCATAATATGCAATAAAATTATACTCTCAAGAGCTAACCACAGATTTTTAGATGTCAGTTGGAAAAAATACTGTTACAGATGTCCCATCTCAAGTGAATTTTCGTATCTTGAATAAAAGAAAATATGGGAAATAAGGTTCGGTTCACCATTGACAAAAATATCCCAATATCATACCCTCTCCCCAAACATGAAATCAGTTCATAAACAAGAACAAGACCTACCTAACTAATGATGAATAGGACACGAATATAATTTACTTCCTAACACATGAAAAAGTAATAAAATATTGTTTAACTTTGGTACATTACCTTATGGGAGGGCAGTCTGGGCTCACCACCACAAGGGTGGACTGAGTAAGGGCCTTACTCAGCAAGATGAGGAAGGTTTTCCACCTCATCACTGCTGTCCTCAGCATGCTTGTAAATTGTGGCCACAGTAGTAGCAACCAGACCAAGATCTTTCCCAGTCTTGGTAGGGCCATCACCACGTTTATGATGTTTAATTACTTCCAATTTTGTCTCAAAGAGTCACAACCTTTTGTGGTTTCTTTGGTGTAGTACTGGTAGTCGAAGATTTAGCAGAACGCTTGGGGATGCCATCATGAAAGTTATAACAAAAGGATGACACAAATACACACTGTTACGTGTCAAAGGGGTAAAGCTGGTAACAAACAAAAAGTGAAGGCATTTAAAGAGAATTACAATATATGATTCTTAAATTTGTATCGAGAACAACGCCAACTACGGTATAATGTATGGATTGAATGCAACCCCCTTTTAATAAATGAATACTTGATGATTGGAGTAAAGAAACTTAAATAAAACGTATAACTATATTAACAAATGCTTACCACAAATAACAAAGAAATAAGACTAATCACATGAACATACTAGATTACTTTAAGGTTGCCAATATCACTGACAACTAAATCAATACACGATTCAAGAACAAAAATACTGTACATTAAACACTAAATACAGCCAGCCAGCCTCAATAATGAAGACCATAAGTACATCACCCGATTGATCAAAGACAGAAGTCAACTGACAACACAGGCCAGTCTAAAGGTTCGGAGGTTACCCAAGCTTGAGTGCTACTCTAAGCCGGCTCTGAAACCCTCGGCTTTATATGGGTTGCAGACTGACCCAAACATCGTACTTAAACCAACGTCTCATTGTTAATGTTATTACAGTGTTACCGACTTTAATATGATAACTATTCACACACAAAAACAAAACAATGTAATTTTAGTTAGGAAAAATATATAATCATACAATATATATATATCAAGAATACATACTCATTTACAGTACATCTGGCAGGGGCATACAGCTCATTTAGTAATTGGTTGTTAAGGGTAGTTCTATCCTACATTGCACGTAACAACACAGATAAAGAGAGATCACTTCACACATAACAAATGGCAGAAGGAAAAATGCAGGCATGTGGGAGATGCGGGAGGGATGGCAGGGTATGATCTGCAAGCGAGAATGTCTCTGCATATCTCTCCTCAAGATGGCCGTGCCAGCTGACTCCTGGCACACGAAATTTGAATTTTTGCCCAGGCCCAAATTCGTATAAGTTGGAGACGCTTTCGTATCTCGAAATAGTGGTGTCAATTTATGAAATTCGATAAAGCAAATTTTTGTATCTCGAACATTCGTATATCGATGGGTACCTGTATTATGATAGTACAGCACAATATGATTGAAATTACTTGGTGCATGGACAAAGATATGTGGGTATTTTAATTTTGATATGAAGTTTTAAGGGAAAAAAACAAGCACAAAATTTAAACATAGTTTTCTGGAAAGTGAAGTAATTTGGAAGGAGCAGTGTAAGGTATAATAATACGAGTTTTCTTGAGTGTTTCTAATTGGAAAGAAGATTTTTGAAGGCTACACTTTGTGCTAATATGTCTTGTTAAGTAGAAAGGAAAGTGAGGCCTAGGAATGGGTTGGGTGTTTTCTCCTGTGCTGGTGTGTTAGATTTGAGGAGTGTCTGAAAACATGTAAGATCTATGGTGTGTATAGTTTTTGCATTTGTAAAGTAATTTACAGTAATTGTTTCTCCAATTTCTTTATTTCTCTTCGTTTTGTGTGAGAGGGATCAAGGGATACAGAACTTTAAAGAAAGAAAGATATTGTATGGAGTGATGCAAGGCAAGACTTATGTTTAGAATGCTACTGGAAAGATCTATAAGACAACATGAAGATACATCCACACTTGCTTTCTTTTATCTGGCCCTGCATTTGCATCCAGAAGCATTCCTAGCACTTCTAGTCAATTTCCATAGTTCTTCCTTACTACAATACTACTGTATATCTAGTTACCATTTAAGCATGCTGTCATAATTTTTCAAGCCATTCTCTTAACTGTTTGCATTTTGTATGCCTACAGGGTGTATACAGGTACAGTAATATCACCATAATTCGAGATTTGAGATTTTACGAAAAATGAGGTTCACCTCCCAAGGAAAAAATAATTGGGGCAATGATGGACAAAACAAGTGGAAAAAGCATGTGTGTACCTGATTACATGTTGAATTTGTTATGTTTTGCACCACTATGGGCATATGTTTCACAGGTACACCTCTAGTTTGTAAACTTATGCTTACTCCTATATATCTATTTTATTTTTCAACAAATTATGCTACTGTTTTCTGGAATGTCTCAATGACTAAGTTTAAGTAATGAATTTCTGTACCCTATAGAAAACAAATATCTGTTAAAAGCATTCCCATATTTCTAGGTATTTCTCTGGCAATCAACAAATAAACAGGCCACTGTTCAACAACTGGATGAGCGCTATGCACTAGTCAATCCCATAGTAAAAGATGCCACCATGATTGCTACAGTACTTCAACACACAGAAGAGAAACCAAGGGGACTCATTTTAATTTTCACCAATACATGCAAAAGTACACAGGTATGTAACATGATTAGGAGAGGGACTCGACATTAGTAAGTGCTGTACTTGTTATCCTAAAAGAGTTTTTGTCAGGGTGGTAAAAAATGCAGGAACTGGAATTTGGTTAAGAGAACTTTTTTTTAGGGACCTCTATGTAATAGATTACTAATTGTCATCTTCTTAGTCAGTGGAGAAAATTATTACTAGCCAAACTATTCATATTGTAGGCAGTGATAAATTGAACCTTACATTAATGTGCTTCAACTACAGTGGGTATGACTGGTCTTTTATTATTATTTTGTTAATCTTGCAAAGAATTTCCAATTATGCTGTAGGGTAGTTGTAAACAAGAGCAAGCAGACTCTTCATCCATTCATTCTAACCTCTATGATATCCTTATAAACCTTCCTCTCTATAACACACAAATTGCCGTCCTGGATGTCCGTCCCTCCCACTTATAATTCTTTCTTCACGTCTTTCTTTCTCCCTCCTACTACTCATCTCTGAATTACTGTACTATACGTTCTTGTTCCCAAACTCTCACTTCCCATAACAAACTGACACTTCTTTAAATTTACCATACAGTACAGTATATTTAACTTTATAATTTATTTAAGGTACTTAAAGTCATTTGGGGTTGGTGTGTTGATACTGCACAGGCTATCTAACCACACGGTCTGGTAACTGCTCTCACACGCTCATTTCAGTAAAAGTGGTTCATTGAGACACGTTATTAAAATGTTTTAAAAATTAATAATTTAAATATATCAATGATTTTTATTAGCTTACCTTCAAAGGTAGAGATGTTGGGCTTAATGGGACGGATGGAGGTGGATGTTGGGAAAGAGAGGCAGGACTAGGTGGATTGTCTACTGCTATCCCATCATCATCTCTTCGAGGTGGTGGCCTTACACCAGAAGGACCTGCCTAAGGTTCAGAAACTTCTGTGACTGATTTGTGTCACAAAGAACTAGTCAAAGAATCAATTGTTTACCAACAAATATTTTTCATGCAAAATTGTAGAATAGCAGGATAACACATCTCTTATTTCACGTTCAACTTTAGGAGCAAGATCGTAGAGAGGGTTATTCTTCTTAAAATAATGCACAGCTTCAACTTTTACGAAGGTTTTTATAAGACTTTTAACTGTTAAACATTCACTTTCTGCTGCAACAGGAGTAGAGTTGTCATCTTGTCTACTTCAGCCAAGTCCTCATTCCATAATGGAAGAGAATAAGATTGTAGCAATTCTTGAACATCATCTTCACCAACATTGTTAAAACTTGCATCTTTTGCTAGACTTGCAATCTCAGTGTGCATTTGGGCAGCATCAAAGCCTTCAAAAGAGTCAACAGCTTCCGGATATTAAATTCTTCCAGCAACCATTCATGAATTGAGGTGAAACTTCTCTCCAAGCTTGGCTGAATAGTTGCACACAATGTAAAATGTTAAAGTTCTTCCCAAATTCTTGCACTATCACTTTACTTGCATCATTTTCTGTGATTAATTTCCTTAATGTACGGCATAAATAAGCCTTAAAACAACTAATGACCCCCATATCCATGGGTTAACACTGTTGTAGTTTTCGGTGGCAAAAACACTTTTGTATTTTCACGTTTGGAGACTAACTCACAAAGGCAAGATTATGAGCACTGGCTCTGGTAAAAATTACTCAACAAACCAGTCACAGAAAATCTGTCATGTAATACATGCCTTTCCTGTGACTTCCAAATCACAGGAAGAAAAGCTTTGGTAAAAATTTTCAATACTGGTGGATTTTCACTGCAAAACACAAGCAAGTGCTTTAACTTAAAATCACTAGTCTGCATTACTTCCCACAGGCAGAGTTACATGGTCTTCAGATGTCTTGAAACCTGGCACACTGGTTTCTTTCTTGGAGATGTAGGTGCGAGATGGCATACATTTCCAGTAGAGGCCAGTTTCATCGATGTTGAACATGTGCTATGATGTGTAACCACCTTTCTTGATCATCTTCTTTAGCTTACAAGGAAATGTTTCGGCTGCTTGGACGTCAGCACTGGCAGACTCACACTGAGTTTTGATATTTTTGAAGCCATATCGATTCTGGAAGCAGTGAAACCATCCTTTAGATGCATTGAAATCCTTCTCCTTAGCAGCTGCCTACTCTCCCAACTCCTTCCTTAGCTCCTCATGTAACCTTAAAGCCTCTTGGGTGAGGGCTAAGCTGACGGTGTATGCTGCTAGTACAGATCTTTAATCCATGTGGCAAGCCGCCTCTCCATACTTTCCACCACATCACTCCTTTGCCGTGTTAATTTCACCTTGGACTGGCTCAATAATGTTGTAGCCCGTATCTATTTCTTTAGTATTCTCAAGTACGTATGGTATGGATGGTTGTTTCAGGCACAGCTACTATGCTTTTAGGCACCGCACCACCTTGCTTTGGAACTCATGGCTACAAAAAATTCCACCAAAGGCACAACAAATTAAAAAAAAATCCTTGGAGCACTTTCAAAATAAGGCTTGGGGATGAATGCGACTGTTACTGAGCATGTGTGGCGCGGGTGAGAAGGATTAACTTGGAGAGAATGGGAATTTCAAGCACTTATGCTGTCAACCGGTGGATTTCATCTGTGGAATCCTCGTAAATTCGTGTATTTTTTGCATATACAGTACAGTAGTTTTACAATAATTTGGCCTCGTAAATGCGGATCCACAAATATTGAATACTCGAATAACGAGGACCTCACTGAATAACTGTAAGATTGTTATTTTTATATGTTCCTTTGCAGGTACTGAGCATGTTGCTGAACTCTTTAGGCATAGAGTGTGTAGCTTTGCATTCCATGATGCCCCAGAAAGAGCGACTCTCTGCCTTGGCACGATTCAAGTCATCTCAGGTGAAAGTCCTCATTGCTACTGATGTTGCTAGTCGAGGGCTAGACATTCCTCTGGTAAGTACACTATTTCTGTTGCTTGTAATTTGTTACTTCCTCTTACCCCCAAAGTCTATGCCCCACACTCATATAATAATGTCAACTCAACAATATCCAATTACTCAAATGGGTTCTGTAAACAGATTGACAATTGATACAAGACAGTTTTCATTATGAATATTAGGAACTCAGTACAGTACCTTGTACAGTCGCAAACAAAAGTTCACTCCCTGTGGGGAAACCGAGTCATGGGAAGGAGTCTCCAAATTGACTTACCCTGACTGTTGTATCTCATTTAGGGTCGATGCTCATTCATTTTGGAAATGAGCGAACTTTTGACCCCGACTGTACATAGATTATAAAACTCAAAACCAAATACACTGCCACCAAAGAAAACTATAAGGAGCTACTAATGTAGTTCTACTGTACCACAAAGCTGTTGCAGTTTTGTGAGAACCAGAAGCATCCGGGGAGGGGAAGAAATAGATAAAATTGATCCCATCTACAGTACTTCAGTTCAAGAACAAGACATCAGCTTCCATCATCTAACATTAAATACAGGTTCACCAGCAAACAAACTTGAATTGAACGAGTCTAGGAGTAAGGCTGACAAATGAAGAATCAGTTTTTAATTTTGCTACAGTTTTCTTAACAATAACTTTTATACACTATTCTGTATTATTTTTAACTTAAAAAGCATTTTAAGTTTTTCCTTCCACTGTGGGTGAAATATGTTGAAATGTTTGTAAAAGGGGCCATAAAAGTGATGCAGACTGACTAAGTAAAGGCATTAGAGAAATGATGGACATGTTTACTTGATTGTTGGATACTGTAATTACCACAAGGCAACAAGGAAGTGTTTATGGCATAAAGTTGAAGTTGTGTACTTGTTGTCATAGAAATATCTGTATTTGATGAGAAGGGTTAATTCTTCCACTGTTTTTGACTATTTTTATAATATGTTATGTTTTATCCTCCCCTAGGTGGAATTAGTAATCAATCACACCATCCCAAACCTTCCCAAGAATTATATCCATCGAGTTGGTCGGACAGCTCGTGCTGGCAGAGCTGGTCAGGCTGTCTCCTTCATCACTCCTCATGAAATCAAAATTTTATTGGCTATTGAGGCAGAGACCAGACAAAAAATGACCGAGTTAAAAGTAAGTTGAAAAGATACAAAGATTTGACATATGAAAAGATACAATATATATTGTTAAGAAATGACATGAATGGGTGTGTTTGTATGGAGATGAATATACAGATATGTACAGTCATAAAAATATTTGGAGAAGACTTGAATGACTAGTTTTAAAGCTTTAAGTTACTGTACTTACAAGTTATAAGTGAGAAGGACAAATTAAGCTTTTAAATAAAAACTTACCTGCCTGAACATGTAGACAAACAATATTTTCATTTTTTGTTTGATGAAACCTTATTAATATATAACATAACATCAAAGTTTTGTGTTCCCCAATATATAAAACTTTTACTAGTAGAGTTATGTTGCCTGTACAGATGGATGAAGCTGTAGTAAGGAAGATCATGAAGCAGGTCAATGTAACCCGTCGAGAACAAGAAATCAAACTCAATCAGACAGATTTTGATGAGCGTCGGAACATAAACAAGCGCAAACGGCTCATTATGGAGGGCAGGTGAGAAAGAGGGATGTTTTTGAGGGCAATTTTTACTACTTGGAGAAAAGGTTAAGAGCTGATTAAGTGATAGATAAATTCAACAATAAAGTAAATAGATGATTATTTTGAGATGTGCTGAATAGGCATTGTGAAAAATATATGGGAAATTTAAGAAATGAATTGTAGATAAAGTGAAAAGTATCGCAAAGGAAATAGGGAACTTAACAAATTTGCCACTGTGAGAAATACAGTACAGTATGTGGACAGCAAGATGTTACCTAATTAAGGTAATGTGAGGTAAGTAGCACTTAGAAAAATTTATTCTTAGATGGAAGAAATACAGAGGCAGTTTTAGATGTGAAAAAATGTGTCCTGGTAGTGACTTATTTTGTGTGGTATAAGGAATATTGACCATTGGCACACAGTAAAATAAAACAAACTAATGTGCAGGTGTAGAGAATTTGCATTTATAGTTTTGCTTTTAGGTTGTTTATTTACATTGATATTTTTAGTGAATAATATAGAGAAAATTCTTAAATAAAAACTTGATATGAATTGAAAAAGAATTTAGGTAGAAATACTGTATCTGAAAAATTAATGCCAAATTGTGACATAACACACATCTTAAGTTTGGTATATACTGTACAGTAAATGTATAAAGAGTACATATTGTGAATCAGTACAGAGGCAAAGAATTAATATTGTCATATGTGGGGTTTTCCTAATTGTCTTGGACCACTTTTCCATGTTATTTCTCTCTTTATTGATATACATATGCAGACACTTCCTGGGTTACGTATTTCTGACTTTTACGGATACTCTCCCCAAGTCCATTTTCGGGTAGTGGACGAGTATCCGTTGTTACGGACATTAAGTAGTGTGGCATAGTGCAGAAGAGACCCACAGAGTAAGCATAAAGTGGCTGGGCAAGGTGTTATTTTGTTAGATTATTACGGTGCGCATCCCCTACTCATCGTCTTAGAAATTTCAATCATAAATCGCCCTTAATTTTGTAGCAAAATGACTGGAAAGCACCCACGTAATAGTAAGAGTGCAGTGCAGATCTTCTCGTAAACGTAAAGTAATAGAACTAGAACAGAAAATGAAACTAATTAAGCAGTATGAAAGGAGGGAAAACTGTCACCACGCTCTAATGTGAACTCGGTCCTGTTATGTTACCTCAGGTCTTGCTACCTCAACTGTACACAAGATTATGAAGGACAGAGCTCGTATAAAGGAACGTATGAAAGGTTCAGTGCCTTTAAAATCTACTGTGATAATGAAGCAGTGACCACAAGTTATTTGTGAGATGGAAAAATTTACTTACAGTATGGATAAACAAATCAGCAGGAGGATTTAAGTTAAATGGGATTACTATATGTACAGTAGATTTGTAGTAACTGCTTTTTACAGTCATAGTATTTGTGTACAGGTATCCCTTGAAATACAAATGGGCTAGGTAAAAAAAAAAAAAAACGTTAGTTATGTGAATCTTCTTATCATGAATTGATAAACATATGGGAAAATATGGTTCGGTTCCTCAATGACAAAAATACCACAATATCATACCCCCCAAAACACAAAATTGGTTTACAAACAAGAATAAAACTAATGATAAATAGTACACAACTTCTCTAATTTACTACCTAACATGAATTTTTTTTTTTTTTTTTTAACTTTTGGTACATTACTGAGGGCAGTCTGGGCTCACCACCACAAGGGGGTGAACAGGGGTGGACTGAGTAAGGGCCTTATTTAATGAAATGTAGAGGGTTGTCCACCTCAACACTGCTGTCTGCCAAGGACACCACAGTCCTTGGCATGCTAGTAAATTGTGGCCACAGTAGAAGCAGCCAGACCAAGATCTTTCACAATCTTGGTTGGGCCCATCACTGTGTTCATGATGCTTAATTACTTCCAGCTTTGTCTCAAGAATCACAGCCTTTCGTGGTGTCTTCGGTGTATTACTGGTAGCCAAATAATTATCGGAACGCTTGGATGTCATAACGAAAGGTTGGAACGGATACAAGTGGATAGACATCTTTTCTCACACACAATGAATGGAACGATGTGGGAGATGCGGGAGGGAGGGGGCAGTGTGATCAGTGAGCGAGAATACATCTATGCATCTCTCCCCAAGATGGCCACGTTAGCTGACTCCCAGCTGGCAAAATTTGAATTTTTGCCCAGACCCAAATTCAAGGCGAGTGATCGAGAAGGAAGGGAAATGTGGCTGTAGTGTAGGCCCTCCCTTGGAGCTGATTCTCACTGTATTCTTCTTTACATAGATGTATCACATAGCTGCACTAGAGTTGTCCCCTAGTAGTCACTCCTCAACTTAAGTAAGAGCTATGTTCCTGGAACATTATGTAACTCAAATTTTATAGAAATCTGATTTTCTCAGTAACCTTAAGTGGATGGCCTACGTTGTGAACATATTATATGCAATACCTAGCATAAGGTAATGCAACCTTTAAGGCTTAAATAACTAAAGTACTACAGTACATACTGTATATGATTATTTTGTATCCATTGAATTGAAATATACAAAAGTGTTGTATGAATAGATTATAAATGAACATTTACAGTACAGTACCTTAATTCTTAGTGTTGACTTGCTAGTTTGAAGGGACAGAAGTGGTTATGTGATGGCGATGTTACTACTTCACGTAGGTAGCAGAGGAGGAAGAAAGGACAGCATACTCCTCTGTAGGGTCGTCAGGATCATCAACATTCCTCTGCAATGCTCTATGACCAAGTTTGGCCGTATGTAGCATAACATAGAATATCTGCTCATGTCAGATATTTTTTTATTTTTAATAGGACTTACACACAAAGTAAAATTTATTTATGTCGAGAGTTACGTACCTAACCCGAGAAATCCCTGTACTGTACAGCAATGACGTGCATAATTTGTTCACCCTCCTGAAAACGTCTTCCCACATGATACAGGGTGGCTGAAATCAAGAGGAATGGACTTCATGGTATAATGATTTTACAACACAACCCTAAAATATCCATCAGATTTACCCCTCACATTCATTTCACACTAATATTTTCTTTATATTTTAATCCATTTAGAGATCCTGATGAAGAAGAGAAGAAGAAACAAAAACGTGTGAAGAAACTCAGAAAGGCGGAGAGAAAAGAACGCATTCAGCTAATTGAAGAGTTGGAAAAAAAGAAAAAAAAGAGACAAGCTGGTAAGGGGAGCCACATCTCTGAAGGAGTAGCAGATGAAAAGATAAAGGAACCAAAATCACCAATTAAGTAATGGCAGTAAAGTTGTAAATAGTATTCTTAAATTTTATAGAAGTACAGTTATTTGTTGAGGACTTACTCATAGTAAAGAAAATATTATTTTTTAAATAAATATATAAAATTAATGTGGATATTACTGGATATCAGTCCCTTTTTTTTTCAAACAAATAAAAATTGCAGTTATCATAAGACTTTTTCAGATATACCCACATCCACCTTAACAAAGATAATCTTCCTCACAAGTGCATCAAAACCTGAACAAATCACTTCATAATGTATACAACCATTAGAGCGACAACCAAAAAATATGTCCACTATCACATTTACAACCAGGTTCACCGATATTTTTATTTTTGTATTTAAACACTGGTACATACCGGTATATCTTGAACAGAAGTAAATACAAATTACAATCTGATGATTCTACACTGTAAGGAAGTTAAGAGAAGTGCATAATTAATATTCATTTATTTAAAATAACATCACAGCATACAACAAGATGGGGACAGCAGTAACAACATAAGACAGAAGAACAAGTGTGTGTGGTCTGGCAGGAGTATTTTACCTTCCTTTTACAGCTACTTTTTCTTCACCCATTTGTTCATTCCAGTAACAACCAGTTTTCATGTGTAACCTAAGCTGCTAATTATTGACTCATCCAAGACACTGGCATTAATCCATTAAACGGTACAGTATATAAAAAAAATCCACCTTGATTATTACAGTAGTCTATATATTAATGTTTAAGAGTTCTTAATATTAACCCCTCCCCATCATTCAACTACTGCTTTCAAACACACACACACTGAAATGAAATCAACTTTGATATATATTAGAAACTTTTTGTGGGTACTTCTGGACTTCATAAACATGCAAAGGAAATATCAGTTGGTAAACTTAGTTACCATACTCATGAAAAGCCTTTGTTGTTTTTATAAACTCAGGGTCATAAACCTGAATCAGGTTGTGGACAGTGTTCTGGGTATGAGGTAAAAACTGGTTACTGTCAAACTGGGAATTAATATGCTTACATGCATACAGGCAAACACACAATAAGTTTCATTTGTACTAAATAACCTTTCATACTTAATTTTGTTCAATACTAACCTCAGTAACATTCAGAGTCTCAAGTGTAATTATTTAATTCAGAAAATAATTCTAAAGATTTCATAAAAATTTGATATCTTGGCTCACAACACTGCATTACACAATAATCTGCAGTGTCAAGGCGGCAGTGATGCTTCACAAATCATGTAACATCCACACAATTATGGTATGTCAATCCTCACCATTTATGATCCTGAATCACCAATAAACAAAAGTTTCAAGCTTTATTGTTAGATCTCCAAGGACAGTTTGTAAAGGTGCATAGAAATTTTAATATTAACAGACAGTTCTGGCTGTACCCCCTACTGCTTTTTTACACAAAAGTTACCAAATAGTTCTTTATATTAAGTGTTAATGACTTGAAATTCAGAAGTGACGTACCGTATGTCAAAACAGTGAAGTATCCTTCCATCAATCATAAAAATTATGCTATTACCAGGATTTTTTTTTTCTGATTTAAGAAGCAAAGGCACACAATACAGTCATCACAAGTAGCAGTCTTCTTGAGTGATATATTATTCTCTAGATCTAATAAATGAAAGACTGATCCACAAATCCCATTTTATAGTCAAGCCTGGGGCAGGTGACTTGAATTTAGTCATACAATTCTCCAGGTTGAATATCCAGGATTATCTATACAATACCTTGATTAAAGACTGGAATTAAACTGAAAATTATTAAGTACAGTACCTTCCTGTCACACTATTGGGTACAAACGTTACCACTGAGAGCTATGAATCTTCAGGCAGCTCATTACTCATTCAACATATTCCTGCTAAGGTGTTCAGAGCTAAGGAATGAGGGATTCCTGGTCATACTGACCCACAGAAATGCCTCCTTCCAAACGAACAAATTAATCACTATGGTTCATGCACAGAATCTATTACCCTCTCCACTAAATCCAGTACTTCCAGAAAAAGTGGAATTGTCTCCTGATGATGTGATATAGGCATTCCAGAGTACTGTATAAGAACAGTTCTAAGACCCTTCCTAGAACTTCCACATCAGCGAAGACTCAAGCTATGACAACCCTTTCAGTTACCTATATGCACATACCTCATGAGGCTTCCTTATGTCCTAATATTGAACATAGGGGACTTCATGATAAACTTGAAAAAGAATATTATGCTCAGAACTGACATCTTTCAAGGTGGAATGAATGTTCTGTATAGCCTTCAACACTAAAAGTGAAGTATCCCCTGTACAGCATTCCGAACATTTCGTTACGAAAAAAAAAAATCCAGCTGGAATTATGAGGCATGGTGTTGAGCTGTGAAATTTATGATAATAACTTGTCTACCACTCTTAACCCCTTGTTACTCATTGTTGTCCCCCCCCCCCCCCACACACACGCACAATATATACAGTGGTCCCTCGATTAACGAACGGTTCAATTAACGAAATTTTGGTTTACAAATTTGCTCCCATGAGGATTTTCAGTTCCATTAACGAACAAAACTTCAATTAATGACAGCCTTACAAGAAACACGCTTTGTTGTGCGCATCAGCTGATCGTCTAGTCCGCCAATACAGTAATTGGTTCTATGTTTACATTCGTTTCCAGTGGAGTAAATATCAAGAAAGTTGTGCTCTTGAATATTTTTGCATTTTTACATTAAAATTATTGGTCATTCTGAAATTTAGTTAACATATTGATAATATACAGTGCAGAAATTATTATGAAACATGAAAAAGGCATTAGAACCAATGCACTCTGTAAAGAATATGGCATGTCATCATCAACCTTGAATGTATATGGAAGTGTTTACTGTATTCCATGTTGCAGTTGTTTTGGAAATTATGTAGGTCAGACTGGGAAAGCATTGCAACTCAGAATTAAACAGCACAAGTGCAATATTAGAACGGCATCTGAAAGCAGTGCACTTTTCGTTCATATAAGGAACAATAATCATCCCATAGATTGGGAAAACAGTTTAGAAGTGTATAAATCCTCATGTGTCACAGAAACACTTCTAGTTGAAGCAAGTTTGATTAGGGAAATGTATTCTTTAAACCTTAGTGATGGTCAGTACAAAACTGATAATATATTACATAAATTTATTTGTCAGTGGCCCAAGGTTAAAAATGCTTTGAAAGCATGTAAGGTAGATGTATGATAGATGATTAGTGGGTCTCATATTTTTTACCTGACGTGACATGACTAGTTATATCGCCCGTTCTTATAATCTCTTCTTATGTTTGGTTTGTGGATTAGTGGATGTCATGTTTTTTGACCTGACCTCATGTTTTGTAAGGTCACCCTGTGTCCATAAGCTCTCTCTCAGTCTTTGTAATTCAGTTGCCTCTGAAGATGTCTTAATAAAGACGAAAGCTAAGGTGCTCCATTGTTTCCTATTTCCTTGTGTGATTTTTTTAGCATATACAGTGGTCCCTCGGTTAATGAACACAATTCGTTCCAGAAGGTCGTTCGTTAACCGAAACCATTGTTTCAATGGGATTTTGGGTAATTGGTTCCAGCTCACCGAAAATTACATACAAAGTAAAAATAAATGCAGTAAAGTACACTCACTTTGAGGTGTGTATGTAGAAGGCTCCTGGTTGATGATGGGAATTAGAAGTGGGGGTGGAGGAGAAGGGAGAAGAGAAGGAAGTGGGGATGGAAGAGAAATCACCCCATGCTTCATGCCGTCATTTCACCCATAACATTTTAAGTTTACTAGGTGTAATTCAAGATTATTTTCTTTAAGTCAACACTGCACTACACTATATATTGTCAATATGTTAAATAAATTTCAGAATGACCAATAATTGTACTGTAAAAACGTAAAAATAGTTTATGTTCAAGAGAGCCACAAGCAAGATGTTACCTCCACTGACCAGAGATACAAACTGACACCTTGGTGGGCGAGTCACAAGTGGCTGATTGGCACACCAAAAACTAGTTTCCTGTACTGCAATTATGTTAATTAAGTGTTAAAATGACTAAAAATGTTAATATAAAACTTGGAAAATTATTGAATAGTACAACCTTCTTGATATTTACTCAAATGGGAACGAATTTAAGCCCTAGAACCGATTACTGTATTGGTGGACTATTATTCCAGCTGGTGAGCAAGCCAAAACGTGTTGACATGATTTCGTAAGAATTTCGTTAACCGAATTGAAGATTCTTTTGGAAGGTAATTCGTTAACCGAGGCGTTCGTTAACCGAGGGATCACTGTACTGTAATATATTCACTTCAGCACTGTTCAAAATTAATTCACTTCTGTACACTACAAAACTACTATTGTACAAGTACAGTACTGTACTGTACAAAATTAATTGTACTACAAAATTCATACTGGTACAGTACTGTATTAAATTCACTACAGCACTACAAAATACTGTAATTAACACTTACTCTTGTTCATTCGCATCCTCCTCCATAATTGCTATAGGGAGGTCTGGAGTATTACACAAGGCTCATACACAGGAGTGCTGCATGAGGGACCTTCTCTGTCTGAAGATGAAACCCATAGCAAGGGGCTGCCAATTGGTCCCGGATCTAAGGTGCTAGTGCTGAGGAGACTGATGTCTAAGGAACGACTGACACATCTGGAGATTGCTTGGGCACCTGGGTGAAGTAGTCACCAATCTTATGCTGCTTCTTATTAAGGTTCGGAGGAAGGAATTTCACTTTAATGCAGCTGTCACTACTCCAGAGTTTGTCCTCATTGAGGTTATGCAGGTGCATTAACCAGCAGCAACAGTACTTTGACCACATTCCTGTGGATGCCCATCTATACCTGGAATGGCCAGAGACTTGGTCCAAAGATGTAATGGAATCATTCTGTGAACAACTCACAGGTGAACCATACGTGCTTATTGGCTTTCCATGACACTGGCAGGTGGTCTACACTTTATCCTGTGGGAACCACCTGTGTTTGCACAAAAAAGCACTGATGCATGTAGCTTGCTGCCCTAGAGTCCTTGGGTAGTGGACTCGCACGCTGTTGTTTATGACAGTCGTACACTGCCATGCTGACTCTTTCAAACTTCAGTGCCCATCCTTTTCTG